AATAAGACAAGTATACAGGATTTTTTTTAAAAAATTGTACGGATTGTACGGATTGTTTTTCGAAAATTGTACGGATTGTACGGATTTCTTCTGAAAATGTACGGATTTTTTAAGGATGGGTTCAAAAAAGTTTTGGCCACCCTGTGTATAACTTTAGAAATTACTAAGTTATAGAATGTTTATTTAATCATTCTGACTTGCTGTAATAATTAGAAAATTACAAAACTTTGATTTTTTGAGTTTTCTTTTAACTTTAATAACTAAGTGGGTATAAATGGTAAAATAATTATGTTATACATTAATATTTTCACAACATTAGCTTTACAATCATAAATACTAGTTTTTATGTTCTTACCGCCCATCAATTTTAGATACAGGGTGTCCCACGAAACATGACAGTTGGTAAATAGTTTTGAATGACGTCTTCCATACACTGTATTAAATATTAAAGGCTGTTTGCAGTTTATTTCGTTTAAAAATCTTTGCTCAAGTATATTTTACGTTGAAATTAATTTAACTATAATATAACTCCTATATAATATTTTTATCATTGTCTTTGGTATTAAACAACTTGACAAATTATGGAAGAAGACATTCGAAACTATTTACAGCTGTCATGTTTCGTGGGACACCCTGTATATATTTACATTTACTCCCAACTTTTAAAGAAACTAAAAAGGTAACGTTATGCGCAATTTACGAAGGAGCTAACGTTTATCAAAGACGAAAATATCTTCCACACTATTGATCAGACAAACTTTTTAAGAGTACCGTTGTGAAAAGGGCATTGCAAACTTTACCTGGAGGGTAACTTGAAATGGCACTTACAGTCCCTTTGAATAAATTGAAAAAAATTATTAAATCACGATTGTTCTTATTTTTCAGCTAATCCACCTCACCTTTTTACCATTTTCGTAATTCTTTTAATCTATAATAATATAATAATAATAAAATATTATTATTACTAACAGTATTGAACTAGGATATGATGAGGAATGATATTACTGCACTGGTCAAGAAGATACCAACAGAACACAAAACAAAGGTATTTCGAAATATAAAAAAATGACTTTTTATTAATTTTTTTCAAAATTTTTCTAGAAGGAAGCGGAACCAAAATCGGAGGAAAAATCTGATGAAAAAAAATTAAACATCAGTGAAAAATGAATTCTGTTCTGAAGTTTACGAAAGAAAATATTTTATACAATTTTTTTAATCTTTGAAATTCCTATTTTAATGGAATTCTTGTCAACTTAAAGTTTGAATAAAGAATAAAATAGAACCAAATTGACATTGATTAGTAGCGTTAAACATTAATTCTTGTACTCATGCTTAGGAATTAGATTTGCAACAAATTTCAGAATTTTCATACTAGTCTGTGCTTTACAAATAAACTGAAAAATACCCTGAAGGCCGGATAAAATTAATCAGATTCTCATGTTTAAAATCAGATATTCTAATTTTTTACATCGAAGAATGAATTGATGGAATAATTAAAATAAATTTTACACAAAGAGTATAAATCCATATAAAATGCCTAGGGAAAATACAGTTGAGAAAATAACTAAAAATGCCCATTTGGTATAAAGATTTTAATTAGCTTGGAATGTCGTTGCAATGTAGTCTCGTTCCATGTTGGAGTCTCGATCCTAGTCACCAGGCTAATTAGTAAAAATAACAGTGTAGAATTTCGTTGTTTATGGTAAATGTGTAAGTTTTGACATTCAAGTTTCAAATTAATTGGTTTAGTCTGACATTTATTGGATACAACTCATAACAGACATTCAATTGTTAAATGTATAAATATTTAATCAAATTCAAACTATTTCTTCCTCAAAACTTTTGGAAAATTGATGAAAAATTCACCAAAATGTTTGTTTTAGATTAAAGTTTAGATTATTCCTGGAATTTAATTTAAATATTCAGATAAAGTTCCAAAAGTTCTCAAAAATTAAATTTGGCTTAAAAATCCATTTAATTCTAGGAGGAAGGTTGATTTTGCTAGAGGAGGGGGATAATCTAAAAAAGGGAATTAAAATTTTAATGGAAGCCGCAGACAACGGCATTTGTAAAATAAATAAAAAAAAAATATCATTTATCTAAATATATTTGACTTGTCGGGTGTCCTGGTGTTTGTTTCCAATAGACGTCAAAACGGCTGAACCGAATTCTCTGTGGCAAATGATAAGACTGTGTAGACAAAATTAAAAATGTTACTCGGAAAAAATGTCGACAAAGTTTTTGAAAAAGCTGTTATCTCCTTGATTATAATAATGATTAAAGTAAAGAGGACGTGAGTTAAACTCTAATGAAAACGCATAAAGTACTTCAAGTATATATATTTTTTATAACTTATTACTAGAGGGTTCAGAACTTGAGTCAATATCGATATCACACGTGTAGATGTTTCAGTACAATGCCCCGTATCCGTTCTATCTCATTCCGTTGAATCTTGTGGGATTTGTTTAATGCGGCCAGGCATCGTCTTCCACAAAAGTTTATTTTTCCAACTGTTTATTTTATAATTGCAAATATTTATTAAAAGCGAATTTAAAAGCATTCTTATTTTCACTGAAGATTCCAAAATTAAAAATGCAAAGGCGAACACCATCATCCTCTCCTCACTGATAATTGTTAAAGGGACAGACCGGCTATGTAAGGTAGTTGAACTGAGTATGCAGTGTTGTGGAAAACTTCTTTCGGATTCATTTGAGACATATAAAACTATTTTAAAGATCTGTAAATCCTGAGTTTAAGCGCAAATTTGACGTACAAAACTCCTACTTTGTGGAGAGGATACGTTTTCAGAATTAGCTTTTTTAATTATTAATTTTTTAATTATTAAGGAATTAAACATTTTTCTTAATTCATCGAGAAATAAACCTTTAAAAAAGTTTAGCATTTCTAACATACTCATTCAAGACAATATTTACTTCAGGGTGTTATTCTACAGTGATAACCAGAAAACTCTGAAATAGGAAAACGACTTTTGGAATCAAGTTATAACTTTAAAAAGGTCAATGAGCATGAGAGACAGCAATGATGCAGCGTAAACAGACCCATTTCCCTAAATGAGTGATTAAGTGTCTAGTAAAATATGTCTTTGTAACAGCATCAAATACATTTAAGTATTGCTATAATATCTTCTTCCTATATCAATTGTTTTCTGGTTCTCTCTGCACTGTATGTCTTATGGTTTCAAGAGGAAAACAGTTTTCTGAGAAATACATGCTGTTTGTCGACTAATTCCATGAAAAATCCTAGAAGAAACTTTTAAAACAATTTTCTTCATGCAGTTTTTTTAAAAAATGAAGAAGCCCTGAAGCCTTATACTAAATCAACTATCCCCCCCCCCCCGGTCTTCTTTTTAACGGAAGTTAAAAAATCAATTTTGATTTTAGGGAAGTTTTTTTTAAATATTGTAAACTTAAGAACCACGTACAAAAAGTATTTACAAAATTGGTTGTTCGAAATTTGTTTTATTTACCGATTTTTCATTATTTTAACATATGCCACCAGTTCGGCGAGTTTGACACCTGCAATCGTTTACGTTTGATAACGATTAATAAATTCTTTAATGTTTACCTCTGATTGTCACAAATTGGTTTATAAAACCTTTACAGGATGGTTTGTAGGCCCCAACTCTAGTATTTCCATTCTAAAATAAGAAAACAAACAAGAAATCCAAATTCTCATTATTTAATCTTTTTTAAAGGGACTGTGAGCGTAATTTCATTTAAAGAGGTGTATCCCAAATTCCCATTTAATTTAAAGGATACCCTTTTAAATCTGGTATTGCCCTCTTTGCATGATGGTTCACATGAAATTACGCTTATACAGTCTCTTCAACTTTATCTCGAGTGGAGAGAGAAAGAAATATCAACTATTTCAATTTCAAACAATATTGTACTTTTCTTAGGTTGGGGAATTAATTTGGAAACTTGGGTAGAATTTGACTTTTTCAATAAAATTAAAATAAATATTAGCTTGGGAATTCAACTTTGCACGGAGTTTTCCCTATTCCACTTAAACAAATTTGAACCAAGCTAAGAACAATCCCGTGTTTCTCCCAAGTTCCCCAATAAAAATTTGAAGAAAATCGATTTACTGGTTCCCGAGTTATGATTAGATATCCAATAGACAAACAAAGAAACGGTGATTACTTCTTTATTTATATTATAGACTGCAAAAGGAACAAGTAAAAAAGATGATATACTACATAGTTAGACTCTAGTTCTTATTTTAAATAGTCAAATGATCATAAATCACAGCAATTATATACTGTTAAAATTATTGGCAAAACAAAATGGAAAACACTTAAGATTGTTTAGATGTAGCCTTACTTTTCTAGAAGTTTATTGGCTCTAATGTATCGTCAATTAATTTCAACCAGTTCAGCTCCGCAAGAATCAAAATTTTTTAATATTTTTTTTAATTTTGAGAAATGGTTTAATGTTATAATACAACCCCAGATATTGACTATTGTCAATCACTTCTTAACTACAGTTCCCGCCACCCCTTTACAATCACAAAGTGTAAAAAATATATACAGTTAAACCCAAAGGAGCCATACATCGAAAGAATTTATCAAATGTCGTCTTGACAATTCAAAGTTGTTTTAAACTATTTTACGTAAATCTCAGTATTTGCGAAAATAAATGGATAGCCATGAATATGCTAGAACAGTTTTAAGGAGCTCCATATAATTATAAAATTTAAAAAAATCTATATATCTTCAACATTCCATTATCAGAAAGGGATGAATACGTCATTTGATTAATTCTTTCGATGTATGGCTTACTTAAGGTTTAACTGTGTATATTTTTTGTATCTTTTCTGAATCTTATTTCTATATCTATATTATACAAGGATTGTGCATTTATCAATATTCTTGTAAGCTAGGTGTAATCTCATTCTCTTGTTTCTCAACATATCTTCTCCATTTTGTGACACTAAAGAAATTATTTTTACTGGCACACATTAATTCAAAGGTTGCAAGCTTTCAGGCAAAAATCGATGAGAATTTTGCCAATCACTTATGTTTAACTAAAGCTCAGAACAAGTGCTGTATAGTTTTAAAATGTAACACGTCTAGGACTACAAAAACATGTGTGTAAGTCAGGTAAAATCAAATGCCAAGGCCTTGCAAAGCTTTAAAGTCGACACAGTTTAGTAAGTTGATGCTACTTTTCTCAGCAAAAGACACATTTTCCCAGCAAAAGACACATTTTCTCAGCAATAGACACATTTTCTCAGCAATAGACACATTTTCTCAGCAATAGACACATTTTCTCAGCAAAAGACACATTTTTCAGCAAAAGACACATTTTCTCAGCAATAGACACATTTTCTCAGGAAAAAACCCACATTTTCTCAGGAAAAGACACATTTTCTCAGCAATAGACACATTTTCTCAGCAACAGACACATTTTCTCAGCAATAGACACATTTATCAAAGACCACATTTTCTCAGGAAAAGACACATTTTCTCAGCAATAGACACATTTTCTCAGGAAAAAACCACATTTTCTCAGGAAAAGACACATTTTCTCAGCAACAGACACATTTTCTCAGCAAAAGACACATTTTCTCAGCAATAGACAAATTTTCTCAGCAACAGACACATTTTCTCAGCAATAGACACATTTATCAAAGACACATTTTCTCAGCAAAAGACACATTTTTCCAGCAAAAGACAAATTTTCTTAAATTTCGTAAATAGAAACACTTAAATATATTTCTACGGTTCAGATTTGTTGAAACTTTTAGTAAACATTTCTTTCACGTTGTGCCTAAAGTGAATCTGAAGGCCTAGAAGTCGGCCTCAGTACAAACGGTAGAATTAAAAAAGTTAGAACGTTCAAAAGGTAAAATTTTCCTATTACATTATGTTGGGTTTGGTTATGTTGGGTCGGGACAATTTCTGGGCCCAGCGCTGCAGCCAATTAAGTGATGTTATTTTTCGGACCTTCTTTTGGTTAGGACAGGTTAAGACAATTTCTAGGCCGAGCGCCGCAGCTAGAACAGGCTATTACAGTTACACAATTTAAAGATAATTGCTAAATAAGAATCGTCAAAGCGTCAAATAGTCAGCTAAAATCGACAATCAACAGTTAAGAGGCAGCAGCGCTCGGCCGCCTAGCCCATCCTAACCGTAGCGCTCGGCCCAGAAATGTATAAACCTAACCTGACCCAACATAATGTAACATTTTTCTAACTGTCGACATTTTGTAGCAGTCGACGTTTCGTAGGTGACCAAACCGATCCATGCTGAATTCAAACTAGAAATGCGGTTTGTTATTGTTATTTTTTTATATGTACAAAGAGAAATTAGATATGAAACACACTTAACAGTTGAAAGAGAAGATGGGCACGAAGCACCCTGAAATCCTATTTTTCTTGTTTATGTAGGTTATATAAACCCCTGGTTAATATTCACCCCTCCTGACATATCTCTGGCCTCCGGTGAATAGGGAACCGCCTTACTCAGTCTGAGTTGTGCTAGTGAACAGATAAACTTCTCCGGTTCATATAGTTAGTACAGAAAACAATACTTTACACACTTTACCCTAGCTAATAATAGTGTATTATTATAATCTAGTTTTATTAAAAACTTTAATAGTAGATTGATGAGAAGTGCAGTGGACCTTTTTACTTCATTATATTGTTATTTCTTTAAGCTTACTTTGTCCGGTTAAATTCAATTAAAATTTATCTGAAACCCATTCATTTTCTTAAGAGCATCTATTCTCAAACAGATATTAAGGAACTCACTTTAAACTCTAATTTTCAAATCTAATGTCGCTGACATTATATGAATTCTGCTAAATCAAACAGTCAAAGATTGAAATATCAAAGGTAGCAAACTCACAAAAAGCGTTGAGAATTTGGCCAATTGAAGGTTAAGGTTTTGGCAACACTTTAAACTCAACCCGGTCTTGAAAATAACGGGGAACAATTATAATATAATATTTTGTACAGGGTGTCCCAATAAACATGCTAATTCAGTGACGAATTCGATATCGTCTTTTTAAATAAATCTTTGATTTAGTAAAGAGATACCTACTGAGAAAGTTGTAATTCGTAAGATTTTCTTCTGCTATTTTTACAATTTGTTTGTTTATGTTTTGACTGCATATACGGTTGTACTTAAATAGAATGTTAAGTACAATAGATGGCAACGTAGTATTTGTACATTTCAGTACAGCTGTATTCTTACATCACAAGTGTCAACTTAGTTTTTGTGTCCGACAAAATTATTAATAATAGTGAAAATTTTAGAATGAAGAGCTTGTCTGACAGTAAAATAAGTGCAATTTTATGTGTTATTTATTTTCTGTTTTTAAACCTTTTTATTTCATCTTGAAAAACGTGCCAACTAATAAGAGAAAATTTCGTTTTCCTTGTTATATTTGACACTTGTGACGTCGTGTATAATTGGTCCATTTCTCTGTTGCCACCTATTGTACTTGATACTCTATTCGGTTGTACTTATTAAAACAAGAAAATTACAGTATAGAAACAGAGTATACTTGTCCGTCTTCACTGTTCATCTTGCGGAGACATAATAGACACATAACCATAACTGTTTTCATAAAATAAACTCTAGCAGGAATAATAATATTATGGGTTTTGAAATTAGGTATTACAATGCTAATTCATAACAATGATGATATTGAATTCCCATGTTTATTTACAAATGTATGTTTCTGACAGTTATGATTAATAATAAGGTTTTCTTAATGAATTGTAGCCTTTTGTTCCCCATTAATTTATAAAATTGGAAATAAAACTTCTCTTAATGATACAGTGCTCCTCAAAATTGAATGGTAAATATTGACTTGACATTTTAAACAAATCATTTGTAACTTATCTGCACGCATTATAGTTTTTTAAGATAGATATTTTACCTGTTTTCCTTCCCTTAATTCCTATTGAATAATTGAGAGGCTATTTTCGTCAAAACAAAACAAAAAACTGGAGGTATAAGATGTAGACGAATACCCAATACTTATTCTTAATACAGGGATAGTACATGACGTAAATTCCTGTAAAGATCTAGAAAAGCTCAAGCATGAAAATCTTCAGTTCTCCCAAAACTAAAATTTGAAAAAACTCCCCTGGAAGCTTGAGGATGAGTACAAACAGCTTCTCCTAAACCTGACCATATTTTATATACAATTTAAATTTGGCTCCATGTTACTTTTAGAATCGCTAATCTAATAAAAGAAGGATAAAATAAGAATTTCTAAATAATTTATTTTAGAAAAACTCGATTTTTCTTTAATTTTACACTTAATGTTGGTAACAAAAATTAGATTTTAGTCCAAATTTCTCCTCTTAATTCCATCTTTCTTTCTTTTTTCGTTTCCTTCTTTTCATTTTCTTTTTTTCTCTCAGAAAGTGTGGCCCCGGCCCCTAGCTACGGCCTGTTTACAAAGAACAGAACATGTCCATTGAAAAAAATATTTCAGAAGTATGGAAAAATGGCAAATAGCTGTCTTTTCTCTAATCAAAGCACAGTGAAGTAATAGATAGATTTCTAATGAAAATGAAAGCGCACTTGATTAGTAGGCGCAAACTTGCCGCGCTGCTCTGTACACTGACCTTGTTTACATTGATCGTCTTCCTCAGCGGACAGTTTGGTTTGTCAGCTGATACAGATGAACCGCAGTATAATGCCAGAGGGTATGCTAAATATAAATTTTCTCTGTTCTCTAGTTAAAAACGAAAACTCAGAAATTAGAAATAAACAGTTCAGAGATGGAATCAAATACCATTATGAAATAATTTTTTTTCTTCCTATAGGCAATTTTAAGTTCAGGGTCAAATTTTTTCTAAAATTAGGAAACAAAAAATAAGAATCATGAAGATTTTGGTTAGTTGTTGTATTGCATGTAAACTATAAAGTATATTTTCTGGAAGACAATTTTATAAAAAATATGATATATGTAAAATATGAAATATATTTGTAACCAGAAAATTGTAAAAATGATTGGTTTCTATGATCAATTACTTTTGATTGTAACATTTCGCTAAAGATTTTCAATTTTCCATTTTTGTTATAAATAGGGGAATTTTTCAAATAAAAAAAGTTATCTGGAAGTTTTTTTGTGGAAATTAGTCACAGTCCTACTGAAAAACTATTTTTTTGTGGAAATTAGTCACAGTCCTACTGAAAAACTAGATTTTTTTGGCCCTTTTTCCAAATTTAAAAAACCTAATAAATAGGCTGCATTCAGTGGTCCGAGGTAAAAATTTGGATACCCATATCGATATGTTTCGACAAAGTCAACCTTCCTTGGTGATCTGTGATTTTACAATGTTGACCAGTTTATGTGTAGGGTTTAATTTCAATGCACGATTTTTGCAGTGTGATGGAATTTTGACTTAAAAGATCTCAGAGATCCAGACTGAAATATATGGATTTGAGAATATAAATATGAGGCTATAAAGTTCATTTTCTATTCTATCTGAAGCGGACTGAACATTGCTGTAATGTGGTTTCCATGCTTCTTATTCAAGGCTTTCAGAGAATGTCTTACTTAAAATTCTTCCAGCAATTTGCTTCTCCATCCATATTGGAGTATAAAAGTATTTGAAAGAGGTTTAGGAATGGTTATAGGTAGGGCTGGGCGTCGTTCCTGGGGAACAGGAACAAACGGAATTATCAAGAATGATGCCATGGTTCCGAAAAAAAGAATGTACACATTGAAAACGGTCTTATAAATATTGAATGATCTACAAATTAATGAACGTGGTATGAATGCTAATTGGTTGGAAAGAACGGTTTAGAATCGTTAACGTTAATAAATCAGGAACTCGTTCTAAATCAAGAATCTCAGTCTAAATTAACGTGCAGCTGAAGTCTATAGGGAATATTACATTACGTACCTATTTATTTACATTTACTACACTTAATATTCTGCATTAGGTATAAACGCAATATTATAAATAATAAAAACATATAATGTCAAAGTCTAAAAGAAACCAAATAAAAATAAAAATTATAGGAAAAATAATAGGTTTATGTATCAAGATGAAAGATAGATAGATAGATTAATAAATAGAAATGCAAATCGAATAAATTAAATCTGGAACCATGTGATAGAAGGGTTTGTATGTTAAGCTAAAATGAATTCCATTGATCTAAAGGAAGGCTGAATATCTCCCCGAAACAAAAGAGACTTTTTAACGTGAAAATATTATAGGATTGTTCCAAATACTCCGTAAATTGAGTAGAGAAATAAACGATTTGAAGTTTTAAAATCTGTATACCCAGGGCTATACTTTGGCTAGTATTTAAGGTCAAGCAAAGGGCCTAGCGATACTTCTACGGCATTGTCAAATCATCAAATGTTCAAAGTTGATTATTTTTTCAACTGTGGAGATAGTTGTTTGTGAAATTTTCTATTATTTTAGAAAACCTGACGCAGCATTTCTTTTCTGAGTTTTCTTTTCTTATTGAAAAAACAACTTGAAAATTGCAAACATACAAAACCAAACTTAAAAACTCTTGACGCAAAGCTTTTGTCTCTTTTATCTGGCGATCTTTTTTTCTACGTTCATTTCCAAATAATAACAATAATGCTTTTTCTTTAGCATTTTGTCAAGCTTTGAACCAACCACAATGATAATGAAAGTTACCAAAATAAAAATTGGACCTGATCAGTTTTCCGATTTGACGTTACTTGGTTTCAGAACCATGTTTAGTTGTACATAGTTCATAGTACATAGTACATAGGATATAGTTCATACTTCATAGTACATAGAACAGTTAGAATAGCACCCGGAGTAAACCCAAGCTTGAGGTTATTATAATCCGACAGTAAAGCTATAATATAGAAACCAAACCACACCTCAATACAGCGGGCAAATTTAATTGTAGATTTTGAAGAAACATGGGCTAAGGTTTAAAAAAACTAAAATCCATTTAAAACATTTGAACCTTCATGTGATTCTAAAATCCATCAGATTCAGAGGGTTGAAAAGTTTCTAAGAATATAAGATACAAAGGGATTCGTTCGGAGACAAATCTATTTTTGTCGGAAGAGAAAAGGAAATTGATCTTTTTCAAAATAAGCAAAGTTTAAATTCGCTTAAACCTTAACAATATTTTGTCGGTTATTTTACAACATTTTTACACTTTTTTATTAATTTATGAATGATTAATTCTGATTTTTGCAATGGATCATTTTATTGGGGGATGAATTCAGGCTCTATATTTACATAGAATTTAAGTATTTTATGACTTTTATTCCTAATTATAAACTCAAATGAAAAATTTAACATAATAAAATAATAAGATTCCATATAAGTGGAGATTTTTTGTATGGAAATATATTTTCTGAAATATTTAAAATTTTATTTATCTAAATATTTGCAGGATACCGAACGAGGATAATTATTTGAAAACCAAAAGAAGAACAAAAGAGGTAAGCATTGTTTTTTATTTAGAACATAAATGATTTTTATCACTTTTCTTTAATTATCAGAACTTTTAGACACAATATATAACTAAATAATTTGCTAAATATTAAAATAGGAAATAAATACTGGAAAATAGTTGGAATTTTTTTTTCAAAATTGCGCCAATTTGAAAAGATAAGTCCGCCAAAATTTGAAAATGACCTAAAATAGCCGATTTTCAAAGTAACAGTTAAAAGCTAAAATAATTTTCAGGCGCCTTAAAAGCCTAATTAATATGTTTATACAATAATTGCCGTAGAAAGTAACAGAATGTATATAATAGATGGCAGTGTCTCAATGAGATGGACTTCTAATAACATAATTAATCAAATTATTGTTATTAGTTACATTATTACAATATAAGTATGTTGACATGTTTCTGAATATATAATGACTGTTTGTTTGTTTGTATATCCTACCATAATTCAGGAACCCCTTGGGACCAATTTCCATCAAATTTTGATTGGAAAGCTCGGTAAAACATCTAGACTAAATTCTTAGCATGGTAAAAATGCTAAGTTTAGTAAGCTGAAATTTATATACAAATTTTAGATTGTCAGACAAAGCCACAAAGTTTCTTATATTTTAAAATAAGCAGTGACGTCATATGAGGATTTAAAGTGTCCATTGCTATAAAGGTCTTCTTTACCTACATCGGAGCGCATCCAGAGAATACAACCTTATCTTACAACCTTGATTCGAATTCCTATAAAATACCTAACTACACAAGAGTTGCTAATTAGCACACAATGTTTGAAAAATAACCTTTAAGGAAAACTCAGTAAAAACCTGGTTTCAAAACACTATTAATCTGAGATTAGAGATAAAAAATCTCATAAACACTTCCAGGTGAATAAGAAGAACAAAGGTGTACCTAGAAAAAGTCTACCAGATAAAATGCTAGTAAAAAAAACGCTACTATAATATCATTTTTATACTTGCATGGTTATCAGTTTATAATAGATATTTAACATTTATTTTAACTTTTGTCGAATTAATCAACGACATATATAAATTAAACATAAAAAATATCCATAAATATTTTAGAAAGTTATTTAAGATTAAATTAACTTCTTATTTTTCAGTTTAATTTTACAAGTTGACAAATGTATACATTTTATCACAAACAGAGAAAATATTTTCACATAAAAAGAAAAAAATCTTAATTAAAAGTTGCATAGTTCACATGAACTTTTCAAAATGTTTTTCTGTATATACATCTTTTTTACCCTCCTTTTTTTTTACAAAGATAGACGTATTTTTGTATAAATGTAATCAGAAAGATGAGTAATATCAATATCTCAATATCACTGGCACCAAAGCTTTGTCGGACGTAATATTCAATTCATCTTTTAAAACACGACCTAAAATATATGTATATGGGTTTGTATGTTTTGAGATTAATATTTTACTGCCCAGTGCATAATTATATCCTTCTCTGCTTGATTATTTGTTCTAACTTTTAACTCAAACATATTCTACATTTTTAAATAAAGCTTTAGCTAGTATTTTTCAGCGTAAATCTTCATATTGTTTGTAAACTTACGTTACGACACTTTTTTAATCCAAAGTGAAGTACCCGGGGTTGTCCGTGGATTAAAAAAAATCTAATTAAAAAACTATCTTTGAAAAAATTGTCGAATTTCTAATCCTATGTTCCACCCAGGGTACCCATGGGTTTCCTAAAAAAATATTAGCCAATTTGGTCCAAAATAAGAAAATAAATATTCAAAACATGATTTGAAGTTATACAAATATGTAGATATATGAACGAAGAAATTTATCTACATTGTATTACATTGTATTGCATATTTTATACAAAATTTCGGGTATTTTCAAAATTTAATGAAAATCGAATTTTGTAATTAATAATTGATATATAATCTATTCTAGGTATTCGACTGGAATCAGCTGGAGATTGTTCCAGAAGAATCTAGAAATAAGGGACGGTTCATTCCTCCCAAGAGAGTTGTTCATTTAGGTAATGTAATTGTAATGGGCGTGACAATAACCTATTAAAATAAAAAAAACCATGTTGATTGTTCTAGCACTAAGGGACATAGTTTTCGGGTCCTTCTAATTTTGCCAGTTGGGGTAAACTGTATCACACCAAACTAAAGAATTGGGGTAAACTGTATAATGTCAAATTAACTAAAGAATTGGGGTAAACTGTATCACGTCAAACTGTTGGGGTAAACTTTTTCACGTCAAACTAAAGAGTTGGGGTAAATTGTATCACGTCAAACTAAAGAATTGGCGTAAACTGTATCACGTCAAACTAAAGAATTGGGGTATACCGTATCACGTCAAACTAAAGAATTGGGGTATACCGTATCATGTCAAACTAAAGAATTGGGGTAAACTGTATCACGTCAAACTAAAGGATTGGGGTAATCTGTATATCACCTCAAACTAAAGAATTGGGGTATACCGTATCACGTCAAACTAAAACAAATTTCACGTAAGATTGAATTGTTGTTTGATATTGCTCATAATTCCTTTCTTCGTTGAGCTATTAAGAAGAACAAACCTGTTTAAAATTTCTTATTGGAAACTGCGGATAAATTTGCTACTCTCATACTTGTGCGTTAAATCCAAATTTTAGAAGTATCGAGGTTACACAGACGTAAAAGTAATATCTACGTAATTTCTCCTGCTGTCGAGTTATTTCTTCTTCAAGTAATTTACAAGTATTATCACTTATATCAGTTGTTATTTAGATACTATCAGATTCAATAAATAAACATAAATAAACATAAATAAGTTTACTTCAAGTATGTTGAAAAGTATTATCATTTATTATTAGCTGTTATTTAGATACTATCAGATTCAATAAACATAAATAAGTTTACTTCAAGTATGTTTACAAGTATTATCAGTTATATCAGGGGTTATTTAGATACTATCAGATTCAATTAACATAAATAAGTTTACTTCAAGTATGTTTACAAGTAATATCAGTTATATCAGCTGTTATTTAGATACTATCAGATTCAATTAACATAAGTAAGTTTTCTTCTTTAAGATAGGACTTCGCATGTTCGCTTAAAGGGAAGTTTTCCGGAAAATAACTAATGAACAGTTAAATTTTGTGATTCTTTTTAAATCATGTTAAAGAAACTGTAAGTGCTATTACAACATCCATGCAAAGATTACAATTTCTAATTTGTGAATGGTCCGGTACCATTCAATCATGATTCCTCCACAAAAAGCATTAGCGCCGGAAAACGTAATTATATATGGCAGATTGAAAAAAACATGACCTGACCATTGGCCAGCTCTAATAAGTTGATTTAAAACCTGAAAATACTTGGTTGAAAATATATTTTCTATTTTAGATCTAAAGGGGGCTCCTCCAAAGATTAGTTATTTACTTCAACTTCTTCCAATGATAAAAAAGGTAAAATGAAAATTATAAGAAATTAGATCATTTGTGTTGAATCTTCAAACTTGAACTGATTTATTGATTGAATATAAAAATATGTTGTATAGGCGGGAGGGATTGATTTATTGATTGAATATGAAGATATGTTGTATAGGCGGGAGGGACTGATTTATTGATTGAATATGAAGATATGTTGTATAGGAAGGAGGGACTGATTTATTGATTGAATATGAATATATGTTGTATAGGCGGGAGGGACTGATTTATTGATTGAATATGAAAATATGTTGTATAGGCGGGAGGGACTGATTTATTGATTGAATATGAAGATATGTTGTATAGGAAGGAGGGACTGATTTATTGATTGAATATGAAAATATGTTGTATAGGCGGGAGGGACTGATTTATTGATTGAATATGAAGATATGTTATATAGGCGGGAGGGACTGATATATTGATTGAATATGAAGATATGTTCCCACATTGGGGACCCCTGGCTAATCTTTCAGCTTTAAATGCATATTCAAGGAAGGTAAAAAGTTTAGATGAGCAAAATTCTTTCGTTTCTTTCTAGTTTTAAGTTTTTATGCAGATTGTAGTATTTCTGCCACATCTTGATATAGAGGAAGCTTATTTTATCAATAAATTAATTAATATAAGTAATAAATAATTGAAGGAATTGAGTCTTTGCAACAAACTCTAATTTTCTAATCCTTAAATCTTTGTAACCTGATAGTGTAAACCTTTGATATTTAAAGCTAAGGCTGTTTGATCTAAAAGAATTCATCGTTTGAAATATCTAAGCTCTAAAACATTGGATTGCTAAGATATAAGGATGAGAAAATCAGAGTTAGTGACAAGATCTAAATTCCTTTAGTTTTTTATACTACAGTGAAACCCTTAATAACGAATACATCGGAAGAATTTATCAAATGTCGTCTTGACAATTTTTCAATGAGTTTTATACTATATTTCGTAAATTTCAGTATTTGCGAAAATAAATAAATAGCCATGAATATGCCGGAACAGTTTTAAAGAGTTCCATATAATCATTTAATTAAAAAACTAAATATCTGCAACATTCCATTATTAGAAAGTGAAGAATACGACATTTGATGAATACTTTCGATGTATTCGTTATTAATGGTTTTACTGTAGGATGTAGCAGAACTTCTCTCTGAAGCAGATAAACAAGGTTTGGGAGTCATTCCACTTGTACAAACCTTCGGTCATCTAGGCAAATATATATTTATCATTCTTTCTGGTTCACCCAGTATAGTATTCATTCATCCAGAAATTCACCCTGTATGTTTTTATGCTTTTAGAAATAAAATTTTCATTTATAAAATAAAAATTTGTTTAAAATTCCTTCTCCATAAAAATATCTGAAAAGAAAAACAAAGTATTTTTTATCATTCCAGGGTTTTTAATGAATTTAGAATGAAATTATTATAAGATAAATAAAACCTTTCTTCTCGCGATACTTGTTGAAAACATATCACTATTAATTTCTCATGAAAACGAGATAAATAAAATAAATTTGTAGAATTCGCGCTAAAACTTGAAGAATTTCAGGTAAAAACTGTTTTTTATGTCTGAAAAGAAATTTAAACATTTCCGAAAAATTTTATTTAGAAATAAGAAGAACTTAAACTTTAACAATTTCAAGTGGCGGGTAGGTTGGAAATTAACTAAGTTCTTACCACAAACTCTGATTTTATAATCCCTATATCTTTGAAATCCGATGTCGTAGGCCGTTACTTATTCTAAAGAGTTCTGTAAGATGAAATAGTTTAAGTTTGAAATATCAAAAGTTTCCACCATCAGGATATAGGTATTAGAATATTAGAATTTGTGGCCAGTTCCTTTTTAATTTTAATTTAAAAAAAACTAATTCTGAAAGCGTATCCACCCCCAAATCAGGAGTTTTAAACGTCGAATTTGCGCTCAAACGCAGGATTTACAGATCTTTAAAAAGTAAAATATGTCTCAAATGAATCCTAAAGAAGTTTTTGACAACACTGCATACTCAGTTCAATTACCTTACATAGCCGGTCACTCCCTTTAAACAATTAAAAAATATGTTGTAAGTGTGGTAACCCTAAAAGTCGATTCAAAGCCTAAGTCCAGCCAATTAGAGTTCAGCATTAAAATACACATGTACGGGCTCTGCCCGATTTAGGTAAAACAGGATGAACACAGCTATAAGTTAATTCTACGTGTATTAGTTTCTATTTTCTCATTATCCTAGTTTCTCATTATTCACAAAGATTTTCTGGAATATTATTGAAAAGACGACATTTGAAGAAATCTGCGAATAAATTCAAGTAAAATAAAAAATCAATATAATGATGAAAACGAAATAATTGATTCTAGCATTGATTTATTGACAAATTTCTTTTCAGAAATATGTTCCAAAACATCTAATTAGATTACTGTGTGGAAGACGATGCCTGGCCGCGTTAAACTAGTTCCACAAGATTCAACAGAATGAGATAGAACGGATACGGGGCATAAGTACTGATATTCTCTCGACAGTCTACACGTGCGATATCGATATTGACTCTAGTTCTAAACCCTCTAGTAATAAGTTATAAGAAATATATATATACTGGAAGTTATACTGAAGTATTTTTGTCCTAGCACTCACATTTTTGACACTATCATCGTGAAATTTTGTGACTATTAATAAAAAGAAATCTAAAGGATTTTTTGTAAACTTTTTTTTAATGCATATAGGGTTGGGTACAGGGCGGAACCTGATGCAACCTTTGCAACCTGATGGTGTAACCTGTTCTTATTTCAAACTTAGACTATTTGCATCAAACAAATTTTAAGGATCGAATGTACTACAACATCAGGATTCTATCAGAAATAAGTTTTAAGAATTGAGTTTTTATACCTTTATTGGCAAGACCCACTCTTTAAACGATAAATCACTAGAAACTCTTGACATGTTTCAATTAATAATTCAACAACATTAATAGAGCCCCCTCCCCCCTTTATACTATTAATATAATGATATATTGGAAAGTGACCATAGACACACAATTATATTAAAAAAACATATATCATACGTCACTGCAATCATACAATATTAAATTCAGATATTGCCACTACTTTATAGAATTTAGATATAGTCACTACAATATTAAATATAGATATTGTCACTACAATATGGAATTTAGATATTGACATTACAATATATATACAATACATATACAATATTGCCACTACTTTATAGAATTCAGATATTGTCACTACAATATGGAATTTAGACATTGTCTCTGAAATTGGAAGACGTCTTTTAGGATCAAATTATAAGTTTAAAGTCCAATGAGAATGAATCACAGTAAGTGTGCAGTGTAAACAGTCCCAGTTCACAAAATTAGTCATCTAATAAGTTGTTAGTAAAACTATTTGCTTTGTAACAACTTCCAGTACACTAAACTATTACAATAATGTCGTCTTCCAATTCCATTGTTTTCTGTTTATCACTGTACCAAATATACAAGTTTTCAAGTTCAATAAACTATTATACCAACCAAGATACAGAGAATTGTAGATAGATGGTATCTATCTACAAATTCGAACTTTTCTCCAAAGATTCGATACAGCTGACAGTGTGAAATATTAAACAGCAAAATGAACATATCTCAAAAATAAACATTTTGTAATATTCAACTTTCTCAGGAAACTTAAAGGGTACGTCTGTAAGCGCACTTTTTAGTGATCCTCCATGCAAAGGTGGAAATGCCTTATTTACAATGGTATCCTTGAAACCTGTATCTAGCTGATCAATAATGTGGAAGATATTGTCTTGTTTCTAGATTTAAAAGTGTAAAATTTTGATAATTCCTTCACGTTTTCCTGCAAATGCGCAAGTCATATTTGTAGAGAATCCACAGCAAATCAGTTTTTAAGATTATGAACATTGATATCTTATTCAGACAAAGCTATCAGGTTTACCAGTTGGGCCAATGCTCTGTATATTCAGGTTTACCAGTTGGGCCAATGTTGTGTATATTCAGGTTTACCAGTTGGGCCAATGCTCCAGATGTATTGAAAGACTGGAGAAGGCAAATGCTGAAAGCACAGGAAGCACATACTATGACGGAAGGTCAGATTTTAGGTGTTGGGATATTTTATAGAAAGACATGAAAGGTCCTATCATTCAAATATCTTTTTACGAAATATCCTGTCTATGCAATATCCAATCTATGAAATGTCCTATCTATGAAATGTTCTATCTATGAAATGTTCTATCTATGAAATTTCCAACCCATGAAATGTCCTGTCTATGAAATGTCCTGTCTATGAAATATTTTGTCTATGATTTGTCCTGTCGATAAAATGTCCTTTCTATGAAATTTCCTGTCGATGAAATGTCTTTCCATGAAATGTCCCAACACCAGAGACTTTATAACCTTTCTTTTATCTTATTTTAAAGATAAAAGACGACCTTTAAGTCCTCTCTAATTGCCAAATTTCGGGGACACCCTGTAGAGTGTACAATATTCATCCCAGTATTTTATGTTAGGATTGCCCACCAGACTAGCACAGACTGCTCATACACTCTCATGGGATAGCCTATTGTAGGCCTATTGTTGTCCCAGCACGCCATGCTATAACTTTTCCACGATGGGTTTTTTGTTGCATATAATAGCCATTCAGGTGTTAAAGGGACTGTAAAGGAAAAATGAAACCTGAGAGTTGAACGATACCAAAAAGTCATCTATCTGATGTTTCTGTCTCAAGAAATTGATATAAAACTGTGTAAAAATTATACCAAGACGTATATATGTAAAATATACGTCCGTATCACGTGACCAGAACTCCCTCCAATGACAGTGCAGTATACTGGTCACGTGATACAGACGGAGGCACGTGACAATAATACTGCACTGCACTGCACAAAATCTTACATATATACGTTTTGGTATAATTTTTCCACAGTTTTATGTCAATTTCTCGAGACAAGAACATCATAAAGAACTCTTATAGGTCTCAATCAGCTCCTGGGATTCTAATTTCAGCCTATATCCCCTTTCATTTTTCCTTTACAGTACCTTTAAGTTTAACAACTTTTAAAGAAATGCTCCAATTTTTAACATTAAAAATAAAAATTTATGAATATCGTCTTTTTTAAAATTTTCTTATTTCATATCCAATAAATCCTTAAACATCCCTGAATACAGATGTCTTCTGATTGGTTGTGTACTCATGTTGCATAGAATGGAATCTGCAAAATAACTCATTTACTAGCGTATGAGCAGTCTGTGTTAGTCTGTGGATATGGCCACCGAATTGGATTGTTTCCAACCCGAATCAAATCCAGGATTTTCTTTTTTCTTTTATATTTTCCTTTTCCCCTGTGTTTGATTTTCAACAAATCCATTTCAAGTTTATTTGCAATTTATTAGCATTTGTGGAATATATATTCAACTAGTTTATATGCATTAATGTTAACAGGAATGTTTATAAATTTGAAAATATAATAACTCCAACGTTTTTTGAATAATTAACACAATTTTAAGCCAATCTTTACATTTTTTATCGATGAAAATATATTTATTTATATTTATAATCATAAAACATTATACGTATTCAAATTTGAAAAATTTCAATTTTTGGGGTTTAAAAAAAAATTAAGGATCAGGAAAACAAAATTTTTAATCGATAGAAAAAATAGATTAGTTTTGTAGGTTGTGTCCCTAAAAAGGACTGTAAGCGTTATTTTTAGTGTCCCTTCATGCAAAGATGGCAATGCTCGATTCACAAGGTGCCCTATAAAGCCTTGTCTTATCATCGATTTTAATGTAATTTGAAAACTGATTATTTTCAATAGTGTTCCCGTATCAAAGGGGAACTGCACATTTCTACTGCAGGAAAAAAATATAGGAATTATCAGAAAAAAAACATTTTAAACCTAGAAAAACGACAATATGTTTTAAAGGTACCGTTGTGAATTGGGCATTACCATCAATGAATGTAAGGCCACTTGAAATTATGCTTTCAGTCCCTTTAAGGTCAACATTCCATTCACGACGAAGCGTCCCTAAATGCTCATAGGCCGAATCTAAAGAATTTAAGCCGCGGCTCAAATATGGTTGGTTTCACTCAAAATTGTATTCAATTTTTCAAGATTCAAGCCGGCGCTCAATTTAAACCGGTTTTTGGGGGGATTTGAGACGCGGCTTAAATTTATTAAATTCGGACACAGGTTGTATAAATTCTTAATATATATATATTTGATTTTAGATACCTGTTTCTTCAACATGTAAGAAGATTGGGAGAGATGGTTCGAGGCCTAAACAAAGTTCCAATAATTTGGGATGATATGTTGAGAAATATGGATAAATCTAATCTAAAGTAAGATATGTTGAGAAATATGGATAAATCTAATCTAAAGTAAGATATGTTGAGAAATATGGATAAATCTAATCTAAAGTAGACAATGTCAAGAAATAGTTTCTAATAAACTTGTAAATATTGCTTAAACCACAAATGCCACGAATTATTTCACAGATGAAAGATCTGCTGTTATGTTACAATTGATTAAATTCCAAAATTTAAAAAAATTACATAACATAAAATTTTTATTGAAAAGCACGGGATCCTCAAATTCCCCTTTGTTTAAATAAATCAGTTCAATTTTAGAAAACCTGTATTACTTCTCAACAAGATTCGTTAATAATAAACTGGTGTTTACTGTCTGAGATTACTTTCTAGTTGGATTTCTTTCTAATGATGAAATCTGGAAAAGAACCCAACATATTATTTGTATTTTGAAAGTTGAGAAAAGTTTCTTTCTAAAGATTTTGTTCAACTTTGCTAGCTTAGAAATTGTTTTGAAATCAAATTGAAATTTCATTTGCAAACATATCAGAATTTAAGTTTTCAACATTTCTGGGAATAAACTTGGTGTCAGCTCCATTTAAATGGATTGTTAGCAAATCTTATAATTCCATTCAGATGTTCCTAAAATCCCAAAAAAAAACTTTTTTGCCAGGGAAACATGTTTTAGGTGTTCAAAATAATTTGTAAAAGACACCCACTGCAAATGCTTTTATGTTTTTAAAGTAATATTTATTGGTTCGGAAGAGGTTTTTTTTATGGGATTTCAGGGTCTTAAAAAAATGCACCCATTTTAAAACTCTAATTGAGAAAAAAATGGATATTTTCCCCTTTACAAACACTTTTCTTCGAAAACCAAAATCAAAATATAAGATCCTGTAAAACAAAGTTAAAATGTTAAATATGAAAGGGAAAAATAAGTTATAAGCTGAAGGGTTTTGTTCTGAGATGTTGGATGGGTCAATACTCAATCTGCTGAACAATCCAGAGATGATTTCAAGGATGTACTGGGGGAGGCAGACAAGATTAAGTTCTGAGTTGAAGCATTTTTTGAAGTGTCTTCTTTATAAACAAACTTAATTTGCGAAGTTAAACTTTTCAAAAACCAATATTTAACTTATTTCTTGTAAAGATATAAGGTGTCAAGGCAATAAAAAAGGTTTATAATGGACCCCTTTTAAAAGGATTTTCTTCATTAAAAATCACTGTGAAGAGACTGTCGGTGAAATTTTAAGGGACATTCTATTCTAGAGAGTTATGCAGGATTCACAACAGTACCCATAAACTTCAATAATGTGGCAGATTTGGTCGTTTGTTTTTCTGTTTTAAAAGTGTTTAATACTGTTTATTCTCTCTATTGTATCAGTATAATAATTGCGCTAGTATTATTTGTAGAAAAGCCACAATGAAAATTTTTAACATGAATATCTCATCCATACCCAATCGGACGAAGCATTAAAGGGTACAGTTGTAACGTGAATCGGACATGTCCCTCTGTAGTTGGAGATACATTTGAAATTAATTGAGTACAGTCCCTTTAAAATATTTATTATTAAGAGAATCCGGGATTGGGGAGCTGGTGGAACCAATGGTTTGGGTTTATGTTGAGGATATTGACAGGTAACAGATTCCACTATAATTTTCAAATAATTTTTTTTTAATTTAAAATTTTTGTTGAAAATAAATAATTTTTTTAACCATTATCTTCATTTTATTGGATACCCCGATATAACTTCTAATTTTCTGTTGGAGACCGCTTATTTTTCAGAAAAGTTCCGTGACTTTGTAAAAAAACAGTCTTTAATTATTGCTCTTTCATCTTTCTTAAAAAAAACTCCCAATTTTTGCCTCCTAATTTTTTATATGAATGTCTAAAAATCCGGGGTGGGGGGGGGGCGATTTTTCTTGAAAAGTAGTTTCTGAAGAAACACCGATAACATTGGCATCTTCCTGCAGACGCATTACTTATTCTTTCTTCCCTACTCTACTCTGATACGCTATATGAATGTTTAATACAAACATTAGTCGTCAGTGTTAAATATTCTTTTCTCTTCTACCTAAAACCTAGAAAAACGCCAAACTTTCGTCAACAAAACTAAAACTACTACATCGTTATGTAATTGAAAAAATATAGTTCTTTTTAAAAACTATCGTTTTGAAAATCGTTTCATTTTTCGTTTTTTACGCGTCGTTTTTAGAAAATCGAATACAATCCATTTATCTTTAAAGAACGATGACTGTAAAGTGATATCTCTAGGTTTGTGGATAATACAGTGTGGAGAACATACTCTGCAGTGTTTGGTGGAGTGTGGGTAGCCAGTGCGTACAAGGTCACCTCTCTCAACCACTAAAAAAAAAGTTTATTTTTTAATTTTTTTTTAAATTTTGCTTTCTTTTTTAAATTTTTTTTTCATAAAAAAAATTATTTATAACTTTATTAAGGGCCATATTATTTTTTTAAAATGTTTAAATAACTATTTTTTACATATTGTCACCAAAAGTTAACATTGTTCTTTCTTTTATTTTTCCAGATATATCTACTATAGCCATTTTTCATAGAAAATGCAAACAAAAATAAAAACCAAACTCCGGTTTTGCCCCAAACTCTGATTTTATAATCCCTATATCTTTGCAACCCAATGTCGTAGATTTTTGATATTTCAGCTATGAATTCTGTTAGACCAAATAATCTAAGTTTGAAATGACAAAGGCTTACACTTTCCGGTTGCAAAGATATAGGGATCAGAAATTTTGAGTTCATGGCAAAAAATCACGTCCTTTGTCTCTTAGTATTTTTATCAATTATATAATATGATATATATTTTGTTTAGGGCGCTTTCGGTGAACGATTATATGTGGTTAATATGTTCCGACACTTACAAAACCATCTTTCATGGCTCGATGTTATGTACAGGTATACATAAGATGTTATGTACAGGTATACATAAGATGTTATGTACAGGTATACATAGGATGTTATGTACAGGTATAAAAAAGATGCTATGTACAGGTATATAATGTTATGTACAGGTATACATAGGATGTTATGTACAGGTATAATAAGATGTTATGTACAGATATACATAAGATGTTATTTACAGGTATACATAAGATGTTATGTACAGGTATACATAAGATGTTATGTACAGGTATACATGAGATGTTATGTACAGGTAGACATAAGATGTTATGTACAGGTAGACATAAGATGTTATGTACAGGTAGACATAAGATGTTATGTACAGGTAGACATGAGATGTTCTGTACAGGTNACATATTGCTCTTAATCTTGTATAACAATACTAATTTTGCACATATTGCTCTTAATCTTGTATAACAATACTATTTTTGCACATATTGCTCTTAATCCTGTATAACAATACTAATTTTGCACATATTGCTCTTAATCTTGCATAACAATACTAATTTTGCACATATTGCTCTTAATCTTGTATAATAATTCTAATTTTGCACATATTGCTCTTAATCTTACAATACTAATTTTGAGTCCTATATATTTACTGTAAAGTACTCAATAATAATATCTAGGGAATCTAACTTCTATAGATAAGTCTTGAGAACTTCTTGTAGCAGACAAAACCACAACAAATATAAGAACATTATTGTTTACTAAGATCTATAGTCCTACAAGTCAAATAACTTTTGCAATTGTTCAATATTTGTATACAGTGGAACATGCATACCACTATCAAATAGGAAGACGACTGTTAGATTAAAGTTTTGGCTCCAAGTATTCTATAAATAAACATGAAACGCAGCAAATGAAAAGTAGAAAGATCATGATGTTTTCTGTGTCGTCGTCCTATTCCGCAGTATTCCATTGTATCTCAACCAACAATGTTACAAATTACGTTTATTTATAAAAAAAATGTTTCTGAGCAGTCCACATATATACGCCATTGTTAAACATAATCAAACTCTACCTGATATATATTTACATTGACTACAGGGTGTCCCACATTATATTGGATCGTTTATACCTCTAAATTGTGATTTTCGGACTTAATCAGAACATTTTAAAAGATGAATGAATCATAAAATGCAGAAAATTTTAGTGTTTCAAGGCTTTTTTTTGGCGTTGAAGCTAGGAGATAATCCAATATGTCGTTCGATGTACATATATACTTAGTCTTTCTATTTATGCACTGTACTCACTGTACTGTACTGTACTGTACTGCAGGTTGGTCCAGGTACGATCATTTTGCAGTACAGTGTGAACTCCTTCCAGTAGCTGTACCAAGTCTTGTACTCAGGAATATACCATTGCACTCACTATAATCAAACCCAGATACAGGATGAGAATGTAAAGACGACCTGAAACTCCCAGGTTGAAGTATTCTGTCATGATTAATGTCTGTTTATGGACTTTCTAATGATTGGGAAAAGAAAGAAAAAAATTTACAGTTGCAGGGAATTCTAAATATTAGGAAACAGATAGAGTTAATTCCGCACAGCAGAGCAAAGCAAATTTAGTATAGAAATTGTGTACACAGTTGATTTAAATCTACTCATATAATTATTTTCTTTTCAACAGCCTTAAATACGAAGGTTGCTTAAATGTCGTCATCCTATTCCACAGTTTTTTATGTTTAGCTTTCGTAAAACTAACATATTTGACATTTTTTATAAAAGTGAATTTTTGTTTACAATGCTTTATATTAGTCTTGCAGTTGTTACCTCAGGAAAGGGAGATATTCACACAATAAGGAAAATATTTATCTTAACAAAAACAAATTGATTAAATTCCTTGATTTTAGTAGAAGTCGATCAATATCAGATCGGAACCACAATATCTTTAATACCAAATAAATTGTACTGAAAATATGCATCAATTTTCAACACTGGGTCGACAATAAAGAACTTGTTCTAAAGAAGTATTTGGAAAAATTCTCATCGATTATTGCGTCAGAGCTTGCAACCTTTGAATGACTGTGTGAAGTACGAGGAACGTGAACAACGCGAATTCTTTTTTGTTTACTTTCCTCCCAGAATATGCAGTACACGTTAACAAAGCCAAGGTTATAATGCAAGGAAAGTTATTTCAGAAGTGCACGCATCTTTTGTACTGCAGTGTACTGTCTCTGGGCGGTAATCTAAACACAAGACGAATGTTACAGCCTGACATGGGATCCATCTTTCAATGAAATCAATGAAATATTCTGGTCGTAGAAAACTATTATGTGAATTATCAAAAATATCAAATTCAATGCTTTTAACCTCCTCGGATACTAAACGAACACTGATGCATCTATTCTTGTTTACAAATACCGCCCAAAGAGAACTGGTTTCAATATGTACGCAGAGTATACGCGACCGCAATTACCTTTCCATTCTAATATTTGATGTTCATGGTTAAGTTAAACTATTTTATCAGAAAAGTTCAGGAAATATTAAAATGTTCTCCGCAAAAGGTAATATTTGATTTATATTCATATTTTGATAATGTTAAAACATTTTCAAATCCTTTAAAGAGAATTAAAATAAGGTTTTACTAAACTTTCTCTGGGTTGAATGCATAGAGAATAGAATATATAGAGAGGAATTAAAAGAATCTCTCGGTATGAATTTTTTCAGTCCCTTTCAGCCTGAAAGGGAGTTCAAAGTGTACAAATCATGTGAATGTTCACAAATTATATGCAGTAGAGTACATTAATACAGTATGTTCCCTAGACTATCCACTTCAATTTCGAATTTTTTAAACTGTTAAATAAACTTTATAATGAATTAGGTGAATAAAAACATCATTTGATTTATAGTTATAACGGAAAATCATCGTTTGTAAAGTGGAAGGCATAGAGTCTATGTGAAATGATCATTGGTCAATTGTGAAACCAGCATATTTCATAATTTGGTTTTCTTTTAACAATAATTTTAGATTTTCTATAAAATGATATTCCAGGGCCCAACAGGTTATATAGCATAAATATGTGAAGTACACCTGCAGTATGGAAACAGTACAACAAAATGGCCGTTTTACACTTTTTTCTAGTAAATTCCTCTCTATATATTCTATTCTCTTTGAATGTAACAAACTCAGAGTTTTCTTAGATTTGGAGAAACATTTCTTCCCAATTATATATTTAATCCTTTAGCATTCATTAATTTTGAAATCGTACTCCTCTATAAAGAGAATTTCTGCGACATAAATAGTACGACTTTGTGACCTCTTAGCTTTTAGTTTAAGCACAAACATGGTTCCACAGCTTCCTTACTATATATTCTAAATATTTTTGATCCTAATAGATCTTTAAATGTATCGTGAAATTTACATTTGTTTTGGCTGTTTAAAGGTACTGAAGTCGTAAGTTAAAGTGACTCTCCATGTATAGAGTGGTATATACGATTCACAACGGTACCTTTAAAAGATTAGTCTGGTTAAGGATGAATCTTTTAAAAATCAATTATTTTTAATTGGGGTTTCTCTACTCAAGTGACTTGCGCTGGCATTTGTGCTGCAGAGACAGATGTGAAAATTGTCAGAATCAAAGTTGTTTCTTTCACACTCTTGATGAGATCCAGGTTTAAAAAGTATTTTTGTAAATCGGGCAGAGAGGGTCCTTAGTCCCGAAATCAGTCCCTAAACTGAAATGTTAATGTCCAGTCCTTGATGTTGTATGATGAACTCCGACGTAACCCTAATCAGTGGGATCTTTACAGGTTAGTTAGGTTCAATTGTAAGGTTGTAAGGTTACTCTTGATGCGCTCAAATTCACGAGAAATGTCGTCTTCTATTAATAGATAGATAAAATCCCTCCCTCGAGTCGCCTAATCAGTGAATTTTTTCTATCTAAGCTGAGGAGACGACATTTCCCGTGCATTGGAGCGCATTCAGAGTTAGCAACCTTATTTCACAACCCTGGTTAGGTTCCATCTTGTGTTCATATGTAATTCAGATTACAGAGGGAGTAAAAAACCTCGATTAGAGTTGTTTCACACATCACTGAATTTAGTTTGGACGGTCCTTGTTATAGAAAAATGTGGAAACTAGTGGAAACTAGCTTAGAGAATACAAAAATGTTTTTTTTCTGGTATATAAAAAAATCCGCAAAATATTTTTCGTAATTTTTTTTTAGATATCGATAGTTAAATTTGTTTTTTTTATTGTATTCCAAATCATAAAATCTATTGTATTGATGAAAAAATCCGTGGAAATATAGTTCAAATTGATTCTGGATAAATATTACGAAATAAAAGAAAAATATTATTTACTAATAAATCCGGCCTCCATGATTTTCTGAGAACTTTCTGAGAACATATTTGTATCACACTCAATCAATTTATGACCTGCCAAGTACAAGGTGTGATCAATAAGTTTCACTAAAAAAATTAGGGGTACTTGTAGAAGTCTCAGCCCTGATTTTTTTTTTGAAAGTTCTCTATATTTATACCGGATTATCAGTTGATGTCAATCAGATCTTTGTTGTAATTGTAAAAAGCGTTCTTCCAAAATATGTCCGTTTCGTTCGTCACAGCAAGAAAATGTTCAGAATGGTCTCAAGCTTGATCCATCAAAGTCTGTTTTAGATCAAAGAAAAGAAGAATCAATTATTTAATGTATTAAGAACTTTTGAGGATTTTTTGGTTTACATTTACATTTGAGATTCATAATCAATGTCATCTATTTAATCCTATGTCAGAGACTTTGGGACAAATTTGGCCCAGATCATTGTCATTTATAGAAATTTTGTTTTTTAGCTTTGTTTACAATGTAAAGGCATATATACATCAAACTGTCTGGCAAACATGCTGTGACAACGTAGCAACTCCATCTTCAGGAGAACAACGATCTGCTTGAAGCCAACCTGGTCAAAATGTATCCAATATAGCTATAGTGAACTTAAGAAAAACAAAATCAGAGCTGAGAATTATTCCTAAGAAAATTTTAGCGAAACTTATTGATCACACCTCCTATCTACTAACTTTTACAACAAAAAGTTTCGCGAATTATAGGTTTCCTCTGTGCCAAAAGGTTTTTTAAAATTTTTGATCGCTATTTTGTGCAAAATTTGTATGGTAGGAAATTTTTCTAACATGAGAGCCACTTTCAATTTATTTTTCAAAGATCAGGAGAAAAAATTTAAGCACATCATTTTTGTTTAGCTTTGTTCTTTAAAGGGACTGTATGCGTAATTTCCAGTGACATTCCATTGAAAAAGGAGCCATGTCCCATTTAAAAAGGTGTCCTATAAAACTTTGATTAAGCGAAATTTATAAATTTTATTCTCTTTTTCGATCTCAACATTTTTAATTTCCAATAGTGATTATTCTCTAAAAGTGACTTGCGCATTTTATGCAGTAGAGCCGAAGAACATTGCTTAAAGAATTCAATTTGTAAGATTGATCCATTAAAGTTCGAAAGTTTACCGTTATGGAGGGTCACTTGAAATTCCAACAACAGTCCCTTTAGCTAAGCAAATTATGATGTTCCGCATTGTTCTAATTAAAGATGTTCATTCCCTGGTGTCAAGGCATTTTCTCTCATCTCAAACTACAATACTCAGAGGTAGGTGTACATAAACAATACTCAGAGGTAGGTGTACATAAACAATACTCAGAGGTAGGTGTGCATAAGCAATACTTAGAGGTAGGTGTACATAAACAATACTTAGAGGTAGGTGTACATAAACAATACTCAGAGGTAGGTGTACATAAACAATACTCAGAGGTAGGTGTGCATAAACAGTACTCAGAGGTAGGTGTACATAAACAATACTCAGAGGTAGGTGTGCATAAACAATACTTAGAGGTAGGTGTACATAAACAATACTCAGAGGTAGGTGTACATAAACAATACACAAAAATAGGTGTACATAAACATTTTACAGGGGTAAATGTACATAAACAATATACAGGGGTAGATGAACATAAACAGTATACAGATATAGGTGTACATAACAGTATACAGGGGTAGCTGTACATAAACTGTACACAGGGGTAGGTGTACATAAACTATACACAGATGTAGGTGTACATAACAATATACAGAGGTAGGTGTACATAAAAGTATACAGACTAGGCGCACATAAACTGTACTCATGGGTAGGTGTACATAAAAAGTATATAGGGGTAGGTGTACATAATCAAAATACAGGGGTAGTTGTAATTAAACAATATACAGGTATAGACGTGTACTTAAACGCTACACAGGAGTAGGTGTTTATAAATAATATTCAGAAGTAGGTGTACATAAACAATATACAAGGGTAGGTGTACATAAACAGTATATAGGGATAGGTGTACATAAAAAATATACAAGGGTTGATGTACATAAACAATATACAGGGTTAGGTGTACATAAACAGTATACAGAGGTAGGTGTACATAAACAGTACAGGGGTAGGTGTACATAAACAGTATACAGGGCTAGGTGTACATAAACAGTATAAAGGGGTAGGTGTACATAAACAGTAAACAGGGTTAGGTGTACATAAACAGTATACAGGGGTAGTTGTGATTAAACTATATACAGTAGTAGGTGTACATAAACAATATACAGAGGTAGGTGTACATAAACAGTATATAGGGATAGTTGTACAATTTTATTGGTAGGTGTAAACATACAATATAGAAAGGAATGTGACGGCATTAAATTAACAATTTAAACATTTGTCAATGCCAATTCTAACTCTCTTGAAAAAAATATTTCAATAAAAATATTTTTTCTGAACCAGAGAACTTTGGAATAAACATCATCTTTGGCCTTTCTTTTACTAAATAAATATCGCTAGTGTTTTATTTTTAATTTGCAATTGTTTTAATTAATTTATTTATTTCTTTAGATATATAGTCTTTGGGGACATTTCATAGTTAAGTGAAGAAAAAAAATACAAGAATTTAACTAAATTATAAAATAGTATTATTACATTCTAGAGTAGAAGTGGAACAACTATATACCAGACTGAAGGAGAAGGTAATATTAAACCAATGAAGTTTTCATTCAAAAGCTATCAATAGAAAATAATGACATATTTAAAAAAAATTGAAAGGAGACTTTGAAATGTAAATGTCATGTTTTTAATTTCAATTGACACATTAGCAGATTTGGAAACTATAGTTTCATAGAAAGGTTCACGAAATCTTAAATTTTTTAATTTTAAGTTTCAAATATGTTGATAATATTCATTTAAACATTTTTTTTGAAGGATGGATGGATGTCAGACTGGCATGTTAGACACAAGTAAGATATATTAAAGTTTTGAACATACTTGTATAATATTATTATACAGATTTATTCACACACAAAGATATGAATATATATATAAATGGTGTAGTTTAAATTTGTTTAACTAAATTTTGGAAAAAGATAAAAGAAAAATATTCAAAATTATGCACAAATAGGCGACATTGATCATTACTCATTAGATAACATAAATTATCATTTCAGTTATTACGTAATCATCAAATACTTCAACATATAAATTATTCATTCTTGTATTTAAAAGTTCTTGTAAAACCGGAACTTTCCATGCATTGTCCAATGGGACATCAAAATATTTTATTTGTTAAGTCTCACTGACTTTTAACAATGCAGGAGACCCTATAGTTTACCGTGGAATGATCGAAGCTTAAAGTTCCGTCGCATTCTTGACTCATGAACCTTAATTTAATGTAAACTTATATTCTTAGTTTTTTAGTTTCCATTTAGTTCAAAGTATCTAAATAATCCTGATAACAAAACAGGTTTCCTGAGTGTGTAAACCTTTTTTAGAGGCAAATTTTTGAAAATTCGATTATTTATAAACATTCCCTGGGGTCATTTGATGTCTCACACAGAATTTGAGCCCGATCGGTCTAGCCGTTTCGAATTTATTGGATACAAACAGACAAGCAAAGTATTTAGATATATATTATGATTATTATAAGCGTAATTTCAAGTGACCCTCCATGCAAAAAAGACAATGTCTGATTCACAACGATACCCTTAAAAGTTTTGTCTATTAAAGAATGAATAATAAAGCAATGTTTATAATTTAAAAACTGATTATTTTCAATCGAAGTTTCTATACAAAAGTGACTTGCGCATTTCTACTTAACGGAAAAAAAAATATTCCGAATTTAATTTAGACTATATTTTACACATCAATTATTGAAAGGTTTCAAGGGTACCGAATTCCGATCCGGCATTGTCATATTTGCATAGAGAACCACTTGAAAATACGCTTACACTCCCTTTATTAGATGTAAAAGTTCAAACCCAAATTTGAAATTATTTAAAAAATATCTTCTTTAGGTTTTCCTCTCCCTGGCGTGTAGAAGAAACCTTAAAAACAACAAATTACCTACCTGGAAATGTCAGGAATGGAGAAAAAAATATTAAATATTTTTCATTTTAACTTTCTAAATGTAGAAAATAATAATATTTTAAAATTATTCTCTAAGATACAGTAGAACTCAAAAAACTAAGAAACAGGAAGAGAACATTTCCTATTTCACAAGGAGAAAATTGTTAAAAACGACTTATACTGAAGAACGTAGCATCCATACAAATTCAGAAAGTTGCAATATATGACTCTTATCGTAAACTAATCAATTTAATATCAAACAAATCATTCAGATATCACAACCTAAAGTCATCGATTATTTTTCGACGCATTTGTATATAGTTAATATTTCATAATTTGTGTTATTTGTTTTTTATACAATGCACCTAAAAAGACTTTATTCCGCTAGGTGTCTCTGCCACGTGTAACCATTCAAAGCATCGAGAACTGAGACATCTGGCGCGCGGCCAGCTATTTCGGTGTTTTTAGTTCATTGTATACAAAACGAATATTAAGTATTAACTATATAAGAATGAGTCTAAAAATAATCGATGATTATAGGTTGTAATATCTTAATTATTTTTTGAAATTAAATTGATTTTGTTACGATCCAAGTCGTATATTGAAAGTTTCTGAAATGGTATGGACGGTAAGAGCCTAAGTTCTTCAGTATAAGTCGTTTTAAACAAATTTCTCCTTATAGGCGCAACAGAAAGAAGTAAGATTAGTAGCGGTCAAAAGCGATTATTTTTTGCCATAAGCCTATGCCTCCTTTCATTTTTCGCGAACACTCCCATTAATGGTATCACTGAATGTAACATGGACTTTTTTCCATTCAGAGATTTAGAAAAACAAGCCAAGCGAACTCTTGGATTATACTTTGGTAAGATTATTTAAAATATGAAATACTTAATATTTGAAGTAAATTTTCCTGAACATTCTTTCTTTTCTAAAATATTACTTTTCTAGAATATTTCTTTTCTAGAATATTTCTTTTCTAGAATATTTCTTTTCTAAAATAATTCTTATCCAGAAAATTTCTTTTCTAGAATATTTCTTTTCTAGAAAAATTTCTTTTCTAGAATATTTCTTTTCTAGAAAAATTTCTTTTCTAGAATATTTCTATTCTAGAAAAATCTCTTTTCTAGAATATTTTTTTTCTAGAATATTTCTTTTCTAGAATATTTCTTTTCTAGAAAAATTTCTATTCTAGAATATTTCTTTTCTAGAAAAATTTCTTTTCTAGAATAATTCTTTTCTAGAATATTTCTTTTTTAAGATATATAAATTTTAGATGAGTTTACAGTAAAGGAGTGGATGGAACAACACTTACTACCACTCTCTGAAAAGCTTGCTGAAATTAACAACATGGCGGACATTTTAACCAAACCAAACCATTGGCCGCGCCGCCCCATTTAGCAGATTAATTAGCCAAACCAAATCAATGTTGATAATATGCACTTTTTGGTCTTATTCAAGAAAAAACTGCCTCATTTCATAGCCTAAATTATTTCAACAAAAATGAAAATCATAAGCTTAAACTTACGACAAAAAAATTTCCGGACTGGACTCAAAATAATAAAATAGATAAAAATTTAAATTTCATGTAAATTTATGCGATGAACTATGTACAAGATGAGGAAGAACATTCGTATGCTCATATTGAGCAATTTGGTCTTTCTTGTTAAAATAAAATAGAATAATTCCAGTGGCGGCTTTATGGTGAGGGGGGAGGGGTAGGTGGACATCCCCCCCTGGAAAGTGGGGGAGAAGTACTTATATCTGAAATAAAGAGGTTGTTCGCCCACCTGCAACATTTGGAGCTTTTATTCGATTTTTAAGAAAAAATTAAAATTTTATATTCCCCCTGTACACTTTAATACGCCGCCCCTGAAAAGAAAGCTCTGCATTAATAAGGCCTGGGGTGGGGGCCCGTTACTAGGATTTTCTAACACTTTATTTCTGCCCCCCCCCCCAGTAAACTTCTTGCAAGGATCTCTGATTTTAAAAGGCTGTGTAACTTCCTCGCAGAATGATTTATTTTTCTATAAGGAAGTCTACATGCAGTACACGATATACTAAATGAAGTAAGTTGCACAATATTCCCAGTAAACAAAAGTTGCACAATATTCCCAGCAAACATAAGTTGCACAATATTCCCAACAAACATTAGTTGCACAATATTCCCAACAAACATAAGTTTCACAATATCCCCAGTAAACATAAGTTGCACAATATTCCCAGCAAACATAAGTTGCACAATATTCCCAGCAAACATAAGTTGCACAATATTCCCAGCAAACATTAGTTGCACAATATTCCCAGCAAACATAAGTTGCACAATAATCCCAGCAAACATAGGTTGCACAATATTCCCAGCAAACATAAGTTGCATAATATTCCCAGCAAACATAAGTTGCAAAATATTCCCAGCAAACATTAGTTGCACAATATTCCCAGCAAACATAAGTTGCACAATAATCCCAGCAAACATAAGTTGCACAATATTCCCAGCAAACATAAGTTGCACAATATTCCCAGTAAACATAAGTTGCACAATATTCCCAGTACACATAAGTTGCACAATATACCCAACAAACATAAGTTGCACAATATTCCCAGTACACAAAGAAAAAGTTCAGCGTTAAGGCTGACGGATCACTTGATCAATGACCCCTTCTTCAATAGCTAGTTACGGGCCTTATAAGAAATTAATATATTGAATATGTGATATTTTTAAAGCATTTATTTATTCAATTTTCCAAGAAAATTGATTGCATTGTATCTCCTATTTATGTTAATATGAAAATAATAAAGATTTACTAATTGAATGGGTTTTTTTTCAGCATGTCGGACATTTTGTTTGTAATTAAACACGTTCACAACTCAACAATTGTAAAGAAAAATTAGATGTTTGAAGTTTATACAAACACTAGCTTGAGAACAAAGCGTTACCCAGGGTACTTACAGGGTGTTCCACGCAACATGAGAGTTTGTGATTCGTTTTGAATGCTACTTTGAAATTTATTTTGAAATCAATTTTACTATAATATGGCAGGCATGAAAATTTTTATATTATTCTCTTGGGGTTCAAACAACTTAGCAAACTAGGGGAAGAAGACATTTTTAAATTTTCACCCATTGTCATGTTTTGTGGGACACCCTGTATATTTACTCCCACCGTTTACCCACGCTTGGTCGTAAATTAGGAGTGGACCCACTCACGGACCCACTCAATTTAGAATCTCAAAACCAAGCTAAGAACATTCCCGTGGTTCCCCAATCAAAATTTGAGGAAAATTGATTAAGAGGTTCATGAGTTATGATTAGACATACAAAAAGACAACTGTACTTAAATAGATGAAAGGGATTGTGAATTTAGAAAAAAAGAATATATAAAGGAAAGCATTAGTCACAGACCTATGACTACGGACTGGAGCTGTTTATCGTTTTTATTTTTCAAAACTAAAGAACTTTCGTTTTTAAAAAAACGTTTAAGAAAATCTTTGTTTTTAAAAAACATTCATTTATAAAAAACCAAAGACTCTATATTAAGATGCGGCATCGGAAAATCTACGCAAATTCTACGCACTTTGTTTAGTCTAATAAAGATTGTAAACAAATGTTGTCTTCTCTAATGAATAAAGGCATTTTTTTGGAAGTTTCATTCCGTTTTATGACTCATACTCTATAATTCAAATCCCAACAAATCAATTGACAAGCTAATTGGTTAGATAATAGATAATAGATATGCATACAATTATGCAAAATTATTTCTTTGCTTATAAAGAAACAAAAGACGACATTACCTCACATTTTTTAACGTTTTATATTGGTGTTTTGTAATAAAAACCCCAAAAGGCATAATCCAATCGAGTGCTTTTCTACCTTGAAATCATCGTTGAAAAACGAGTCTTGGAATCCTAGGTTGCTAATGAAAGATATGGACAGAAACAGTACTTGTCATCATTTATTCTTCTTTCATAGCATCACAAATCGCAATTCAAAACTAAATATATATATTACATGTATACAAATATTTATAAGGTTTTATAAATGAATCGAATAGTATCAGCAAGATGCCTCAAACTCTAATATTGTCAAAACTAAAAGCCGTCTTGCTTGTACTAGTTCGGGTTCCAAGAAAAACTATACTAATACTAAAAACATAATTTTTGTCCCCAAATGTTCACATTTGATCTTAAAAATACCTTAATCCGTCTTCGACGATTTATAGGATAGAAAAACCACTTTATCCGTCCATCCACGAACAAATATCAATCTAAGAATGATTCTAGAACTTTCCGACGAATCAAAACTGCCAAAAAAACGGAAGATGCTCTAAGTTTTTCTAAGCGCATGCGCTCTAGATTTGGTTGGTACTGGAAACTGAAATCCGGTCCCTGGAATCAATAAAATGATTCTGGTCCCTGGAATCACTTAACAATTGGATATATTTAGTGCCCTGCCCCTTTCACTGCCTAAAATGTCACTTCGAAGAACTTGAAAAAACATACTCGACTACATATGAAAATTTTCTTTTATGATTATTGGCTAATTTTCTTGCAAAATAGATGCGTATCTTATTCACTAGTGCAGGTTTATTTTAACAAAAGATCCTTTATCCAACAAATAATAACTTTAAAATACAATTTAACATTATTAATTTGTTTTCACTTTTCACAAACCATTCACTATTGTGTTAACTAAATAAGGTTTTAATGTTGATTGTTGAACGCTCAAGCAACCAAAATAATCAATGACATCAAATACATCTGTACAGGGCGTACACAGTAGTCATATTTCTATTACATCATCTTTATATAGAGAATCTTTGGTTAAAACAAACGGACTGAACGACGATATTTACGTTTTACTGAAGAAAAAAACAATAGTTCTGGGTTATCCACTATAAAGGACTTTAGGCGACAACCTTAATCTTTGAAAATATGACAATCTGAAGAATTACTCGATATTTTTAAAAAAAATTATGAAAGTTCGAAAGGGCGTCGTTAACTATAGTTAAAGGGACAGACCAGCTATGTAAGGTAGTTGAACGTACTGAGTATGCAGTGTTGTGGACAAATTCTCTAGGATTCATTTGAGACATATAAAACTTTTGAAGATTTTTAAATCCTGAGTTTGAGCGCAAAGTTGACATTTAAAATCGTGCTTTAAGGTACTTGGATTCGTTTTCAGATTTATTTTTTTTAATTATTAAATAACGACGAAAAAAAATGTAAACTAAATTCTTCAGTAAACTAATTAGTTGTTAAGGAACAGGTCGAGAAAATAAAAATTAATCTTATCATCGAAAATTTTTATTGAAAAGACGACATTTCAAGAATTCGTATAAATCTGCGAATAAATTCATAGAAAATAAAAATTCTATAATAATGATGAAAACGAAATAGTTGATTCTATCGTAGATTTATTTATAAATTTCTTTTGAGTAATATGCTCCTAACCATTTAATTGATTAAATTCACACAAGCTCAGTAATTATACATCGTGGAAACGTTTTATATGTCTCAAATGAATCCTAAAGAATTTTTCCACAACACTGCATACTCAGTTTAACTACAGAGCGTCCCATATCATATTAGATTATCTCCAATCTTTAACGACAAAATAAATCCTGAATACTCGAAAAACTTATCATTTTCCGCAAGAAAATTCTTATATAAGCCTTATGTTATTTTTCAAAATGGTTCATTCTAATTAAATTTTCTGGTTAGTCCCGAAAATCGCAATTTAGACCCGTTCTCGGTCTAATATGATGTGGGACACCCTGTACCTTACTGTTGTGTAATTTATTTAATGGTTCTCAATAATTTGTTAAATGTTGTTGGAACGCGGTTTTGTAAATTGAGAACAGTCCCTTAGCGAATTTTGTAAGTTTAGAGCAATCCCATAAATATCTTGATTAAATTCGTGATTTGGTTCTGAATAATAATATTCTCAATATTTTTTACATATTCTGTTTGTTTATTTACTGTTTGTTTACAACTTTAAACCAGTTTGCACTAAATTCTGTGCAGTACTCTTAGCCATCTGGTCTCACTACCAGGTTAGAAAGATTGATCAAATTTTTCCACATAAAGTCAAATTGGTTAAAATTGTTAAAATATTTTAATTAATAATTTGGAATTCTTTCATTTTTTAGTTGGATTTAGTTTGTGAAATCGGCGGATCTGAGGTAGAATTTTATATTAAAGGCTCTATTTACGGCTTTATTTACAAGTGAAATCTTTTTAAACAGTGAAATAGTTATTAACCCATTGATGCCAAAAGCGTCGTTTTTTGATCCGTTCTAAAACTTTTAAATTTGGAAGATTTTCTTGTTTCATTTAACTTTTTTCAATATTCTTATTAAACTAAATTCTTATTTGAGCAGTACATCTTATTGGGTTATATTTTATCTTTTTGTTCTTGCACTTTATATACTTTTAATTTAGCAAGCGTGAGCGTGCACGTGAGCGTGCATTGTGGTTTATATCGGTTCAGCAGTATCCTTAAGCAAACTTATTGCTCTCCTTAAGCAAACTTATTGCTCAAGACCCTGCTGGATCTACCCTAGCTCTGTTCAACCCCGATCAGCGAAACAAGTAAGGATAAACTTTTTATTCTCTGCCAAGTAATGCATTTAATGCAACTGATTGCTTTAATAGAAGCAAAATAGAGTTAAATTGCTCAGTTTGGACTAGTTCCTATTAACCGTTTTATTGGGCAAGATTATTGCTCCAATAAAGTAAAAGCAAACTTATTGCCATAAACTAAGTTTAATTGCTGATTTAGTGTGTAATTGGATAACACACAATTATTGCTATTTAATAGCAATTAAGTCCATGACTGATAGTTCATGGGATAATAGGGTGATTGTCATGAATTAGAATTCCCTAACATTTATTTAGACTGAATACAAATAGTCTACAGAGTCCTAAAGAGATACTTTTCACTTAAGTTGCTGAGAAGCTAAGCAAGAAGCACATTTATTGCTTTTATTGATAAACAATAAATGAAGTCTAATCTTAGGTTAGCCATCATTACTAATACACGAGTCTAACCCTGCGTTGGGTTAAGCATGTATTGCTTAACTGCCAACATTGCTAATATAGCAAAGTTATTGCTCAAATTTGCTACATACACTAACATTATGTTTATTTAGTTTTTGAAACCGCTGTGCTGTTATCAATCTGTGAACTGATCGGAACCCTTTCTAAGAAGATTGTATTTATCAATAAAGATTTACGTTACTTAACCTTGTCATTTATTTATTATCGGGATTAGATAGCAATTCTCTAAAATTGCGCAACACTTACATAGCCGGTCTGCCCCTTTCAGAAAGGTACATTCGTTGACGAAGTCGCAAAATCGTATCAGCGTTTTAATTTAAATTTGACCTTAACCTTATTTTAAAACTGGAGGGACCTATAGGGAGTATAGTGTGCAATTTTGAATCCCTCCTTCAATCCCTCAATTGAGTAATTTTGAATCCTTCCTTCAATCCCTCAATTGAGTAATTTTGAATCCCTCCTTCAATCCCTAAATTGAAAAATTTTAAATTCATTCTTCACTTAATGGAAACATTAAATGGGGTTAATTTGAGATTTAAATAAATTAAAAGGTTGTTAATTTATTTGAGCAATGTTAATCCTCTTTAAATAACAGAAAACTAGGCTTGGATATAAACAATTTGATGAAATAAAAACCCCTTTAAATTAAAACCTATACAATGGTCACCAGTCGAATCTCAAACTCAAGTTATAACTCAAAATAGTCAAATGAACATGAGCCACAACAACTGTGCATTGTAAACAGACCCATAGATAGATAGATAGATAGATAGATAGATAAATAGATAGAAAGATAGATAGATAGATAGTTAGATAGATATATATATAGATAGATAGATAGATATAAGGATAGATATATAGATAGATAGATAGATAGATAGAAGACAAGAAGAAGGACCATTGCTCAATGTTGGAGACCAAGGAGCGAGGTTTGAGCCGGGTTTAGTTCTCTAGTTCTCTAGTTCTCTAGTTATACTTGGAATCAGAGAAATATCTAAATATTGATCTTCCCAGTTCTAGCCCAGTACACAGTACACAGTGACAGTACACTGCATATCAACAAGTCTAATCTTACTCAGTACACAGTTTATAGAACACCACCGATCAACAAGTCTAAAAATAATTCAGTTTACAGTACATAGTACACAACAGATCAACAAGTCTAAGACTTACTCAGTACACAGTACACNACTGTTCATCTTGCAGAGACATTATAGACACATTTTTACAGTCTTTTACCCTTTTCATAAAATAAACTCTAGCAGACATAATAATATTATGGCTTTTGAAATTAGGTATTACAATGCTAATTCATAGCAAAGACGATATACTAATCGTCACTGAATTCCCATGTTTTTTGGGACACCCTGTACTTAGTACACAACAGATCAACAAGTCTAAAAATAATTCAGTTTAGAGTACACAGTACACCATAGATCAACAAGTCTAAAAATAACTACGCAGTATATTGTACACAACGGATCAAAGAGTCTAATAAAAAATCAGTACACAACAAAAATCAAAAAGTCTAATAATAACTCAATAAAGAGTACATAGTACACTCATCAACAAGTTTAATAATTACTCAGAACAGAGTACATAGTAAACACATCAACAAGTTTAATAATTACTCAGAACAGAGTACATAGTACACACATCAAAAAGTCTAATAATAACTCAGAACAGAGTACATAGTACACACATCAACAAGTCTAATAATAACTTAATAAAGAGTACATAGTACACACATCAACAAGTCTAGTAATAACTCAGTACAGAGTACATAGTTGTAGTAAATAGTAAGAACCTTTATAAAATGGATTAGTAGTGGAAAGTGGGGAAACCAACCTTTGTTAAACCTCGAGGCCTCTAACTCAACAATAGTATACAGATCAACAAGTCTAATAATTACTCAGTACAGAGTACATAGAACACAGATACACAAGTCTAATAATAACTCAGTACACAGTACACAACTGAAAACAGATCATCAAATCTAGTAATAAATCAGTACACAGTACGCAGTACACAGTACGCAGTACACCTGCAGATCATCAAGTCTAATAATAACTCAGTACACAGTACAAAGTACACAACATAAATAAACAAGTCTATACAGTACAAACTACACAATATAGATGATCAAGTCTACACAGTACACAGTACACAATAAAGATAAACAAGGCCCAATTTTTTTAAACGATGAAAAAGCAGGAAAAATGTTGTTATTTTTTTATTGTTTTCATTTTGAAAATACATGTGCCCATCCCCCTTTCTAGAAAGAACTGAACAACTTATTGCCAATCATACACCATAGATCAAGAAGTTTAAAACCAATTACAAAAATGTAATTATTAATTTCAGATTAAAAATGAAGAATGAAAAAAAACAAGATGGTGGAAAAATGATTGATTAATTGATAAAACATGATTTGGACTTTCAGGTCAGGTTTAAGGGACTAAAAAGCGTTATTTTGATATGAGTGGCGTGTCGGATTCACAACCGTATCTCAAGAATATCTAGAGGGCGCTGGTTAAATTGATATTTATATTCGAATTTTTAAAAACCGCTTTGGACTCAGAATATTCGGTAGTTTTAACCGGTTTTACGACAATTCGAATGCTGTTTGAAGGATAAAAACACAGATTTCTCTGGCCTTGATGATCAGTTAAAAGTACCGTTTGGTACCGTCGTTAATCGAACATTGCTATTTGTCATGGAGGGTCACTTGAAAATACGCTTATAATTCCTCTCAGAACCTGTTTTTTTAGCAGAAGCGAAATTTTGATTTTATAAAATCAAATAAAAACCCTTCATTTAAAAGCAATATGATTCCGCTCCGTTTTACCATCTTACTAAAATCTGCTTTTTTAACTGTTCATTTAAAACTGTATTTCATCGATTTGGGTGTTTGAAACTAAATACATTTAGAATTCTTGGAGCTCTTGTTTTTATAAGATGGCTGACTCGTTTTTTGGCCTTTTATTTATCAGGTAAAGGAACTGAGTTTTTCCTACAAACTCAGATTTTATAATCCCTTTATCGTTGCAACCTGAATTTAAAGAATTTAAGTCGCGGCTCAAATGTGGTTGGTTCCATTTTAAATTGTATTAAACTTTTCAAGATTTAAGCTAGCGCTCAATTGAAACCGGTTTTTGGGGGGATTTGAGACGCGGCTGAAATTCATTAAATTCGGACACTGATGTTGTAAATTTTTGATATTTCGAACAATGTATTTCTCATTTTAGTGATTAGTTTTTAACACGCTTTGGTTTGGACAACAATAAAAATAAAAAGTGGTGTTGAAAATTTGATTAATTCTTGAATAAAATAAAATTGTTACTTTTGGTGCATATCTTAAAAAACTTTTTATTTATAGAAACCTAATAAATTTATAAAATTTCAGATGGCCGACTGTACAATCCAGATGTGACGCGAAACAATGAGATTTTTCTAAAAGAACTTCATGCAAATTTATAATTATATTTTAACATATGCAAATATATCATAATATATTATTTTATATCAACATATGCAAATATATCATAATATATTATGATATTATAGTTTAGTTTCTAATTGTGTGTCTAACCCAAAACCTTGACAGCTTTCTGCAAAGAATTTAGCAAGAGATAATATGCAAATTCATTGTCATTCCTTTAAAACTATTAAAAGCCTTTTTATTTTGATTGTGTTTTCTTGAAGAATACAAACACGACTCATTCTTTGTTAACGGCCTATTCCTACTGACGTCTCCTGAGCTCAATAAACCCTGAGACCGAAACTCATGTCATGAAACCTAGTAAAGGAAACCTGGTTTCATCAATTGGGTTTATGCAGTTTTGTCGCATTTCAAAAATGTTCAAAAGTTTCTTTAAGTTCTCTATTTTTCCAATTTCTTAAATAAAAATCTACACAAATGTTTAAATCCTAAAAAGGAAACTCGGGAGTTTTGTTTAACGAAGCTCTCTAAGTTAAGACTGTACCGCTGAATGTACGCAGCGCACACCGGAATTTTCAGCTGAATACAATTAAGCGGGGTTTAATGAGTTTACATACAAATATCTCTGTACTCAACGAACACACAAAGGTTTTAAATGTTACAAAATTTCTTAGTTATGTAAAAAAAAGTGATGAGAGGGTCATTAGTTGGAATATTTTACTGAAGTATTTGCAGATTATTCTAATCAAATCAAATAAATCAAACCAAATCAAATTAAATCAAATCAAATCAAATCAATTCAAATCATATATATTAATGGGCGGTTAATCAATTTAGAAAATTAAAGATTTTACAATTAAGTGAATTTAAGAAGAAATTAGAAATTAGAAAAAAATGTTAAATTTAGATGACATCAATCATATTTCAATAGATAAGATTTTTGTATTGTTTATCTGTTGTAACATCTATTCAGATCCATATAGTTAGTTTTATGTGATATTGAACGTGTGATAAATGTTTTGATGAAATACAAAATTAAAAATGTATTCATGTTTAAATGAAATTAAAAGAATAATTTTCCTATGATGAATTAATTTTTACCTTGTCTCGATAAAAAAAAATAATTCTCTGTTTAAAAATGATCTCATCAAAAATTGCAAAATGTTATGGGAACCCAGAATTTTTGACTTAATTCTAAATCATAGAATTAACAATCAGAATTTATTGAACTAATTTGATAGAGAAAACTCCAAAAAGTAAGAAAGTTGATAGAAATCCTAGGATATCTTTTTTTAGATTTACAAAATCAAAATGTGTAAAATTTAAAGACCCTGCAGTTTTCATTCATCATAATCATTTCTTTCATGGTGAGGGGTGAATGCAGGAATTTTTCCAAGGACCCTACCCTACTTGATTAAACCAGCAGTAGTAAAATATATTGACCTGATTTCACCGTTATATGTTGCCCTGACACAATTCTACATAGTAGCTCAGTTTATACAGGGGGTACAATCAGATCAATGGTTTAGTGAATTTGGTGAAAAGTTCAAGATACTACAGCATTTTTTCCTAAACGTGATGTTTTAAAACAATATTTAGGAAATATTTTCAAGCTTTAATTTACGGACCAATTGTTTTTAAAGGGTCTAACAACGAGGTCCTTAAGAAAGTTTTTCCAATTCAGGGCTGTGTGGATCTCGGTAATGTACTACTAAAGAAGATATAACCTATTTTTAATTACACTTGTAAAGAAAAATTTAAACTGACAGGAAAACTGATAAATATTGAAAACTCTAACTAAAAAGTGTTTGGTATAAAAATCTTTAATTTATAAATTGTTATTCAAATTTGCTGCAGTGTTGCAGTAGACAAATTTTGTCAATTTCGGTCTTATTCCATTTTTTTATCAATTTATTTTGTATCCCTTGCAATATACTTTAAACGCAAGGCTCCATTTATTCAACATGTTATTAAATTTTTGTGCAAATTTTCTTGATTCGCAGCCTCAAGTACGCCAACAACATTTTTACAAAGAGAAGTGCTAAAACAATCTAGTAACCCGTCTAAATAGTTGCTAAATAGTTTCCCAGGTAGTCAACTAGCATCCCCCCTAGTTTGTAATTGTAATTTTTAAGTGACAGATTAGACTGATCAAGTCTGAATTATAAATAAATTTTTTTGTTCCTTTAAAGTGCTTATTTTTCTTTGCGGTTTCTTGGCGAGAGGCACTTGTGCATTCCTTGTTTATAAGAAGCAATGGAGAAATTAAAGTCATTTTTTAACTTTTAAAGGCCCGAGTCCACAAGAACTTAATGTTAAAAAGATTATATATTTTAGAAATAGTTAATACAATGAAACAATACTTTCATTGGAAGTTCATGAAATAAAACTGATTAAAGTAATTCTAATAAATATAGGGATAGTCAATATATCACGGACGATAAGAAAAGATATGTTTTAAATTTAACAGTATTACAGTGAGAACCAGAAAATTATTAAAATTATTGAATAAGAAGACGAATTACAGACATTAAAGTGTTTTTAATGTTGTTCAAAAGCAAGTATAGTTTTACCAGTAACTTTTTGGTTAAAATGGATATGTTTATTTACACTAAACAATTCCTGTGTCTCATATATACTATTTAGAGTCATAATTTGAGACTAAAAATTGTCTTTCTATTCTACAGGGTGTCCCATATCATATTAGATCGTCAATCACGCACCTCTGACCCTTTAGTAAAAGTAGATTAAACCTAAAGTCTGACCGCGTCAACCTTGTTGCACCGGCTAGTCCTATTGAGTGTCTGCTTTATTTACCCAATGTCCGGGCGATACAGTACGAACTGGGACCGGAAAGGTTGATCCGGCTCGGAAATTAAAATGTACTACGGCTGCCCGTGCAATGGGTCTCAATTACTATTATGGGGACTAATTAGAAAATTTAAGAAGAATGCATCGTTTTGAAAAGTTGAATAAGGCTAGTAAAAAAATTGTCTAGGAGAAAATGCTAAGTTTTTTGAGTATTGTGTGTTTATTTTTTCGTTAAAGCTTGAAGATAATCTAATATAATATGGGACGCTCAGTAGAGTTTGGTTTTCATCGTACATTTGAACTTGAAATGTTGGCATTAGGTTTATGAAAATGCTACTCTACAATGTCAATATTTCACTAATCATATGAAAGTATACCAATATGACTTTGCTACCTTATAAAGTATCGTCTTTGTATTTAAATATTGATAATCCTACATGATGTATTTGTTAAGAGTTTTATCTGCAAAGAACATCGAACAATTATTAATTGTATCAGAGATCATATAAATAAAAGTTAGATGTTTTTCATGGAAAAGTTCCAAATTATGGATTTTAAAATTCTCTCACCTTGAAAAAATAATGGCACAACGCGATCAATTGAATCCTTGAAATATTGACTCTGAAAAGAAATGAAGTGTTTATCAGTCGTCTTCCTGGTTCTTCTAATCAGCCCTAATATTCCCTCCATACTGACGATAATCATTGAAGATTCTACCAGGAAGATCAGAAGATTTTATTTAAGCTAGACATAACCGGTATCAAATGGAATAAAAGCTGTCCTTAACGAAACTGCGACATCCCTGATTAACAATGGTTCCTATTAATTATTTATCTAAGCAGTAGTGTGGAAGATATTGTCGTTTTTATCTTATATACTTGTTGATATCTGTAAATTACGTACACTCAATGGAGTCACTTAAAGTCGTTAACTTATAACGATACTTTACTAAAGATCTTTTTAGAGTCTATTAAAAAATTAGTCGAAACGTCGCTAAATTTCAGTTTTTTACTCATAAACTTAAATATTTAAATCAGAAAAACTTACAAAAGGTCTGACTCTGCAAGCCTATCTTGTAATTTAAAAAAAAAATCTTTATAGGAAAGACGACATAACTTGTTGGCTTTTATTCTATTCTATTATTAACAAAACATTATTATCATAATGAAATAAATAATTTCTTATCAACGGATGACGATTGCCAGAAAACAATTTCTTGATGGTCGTCTTCGTATTTTAATTTAACAATTTAATGTCGTTAAGATTTATTGTAATCCACAAATCAATCATTAAATGAATTTATATCCATAAAAACATCTTGGGCACATTTTTAGAAACACATAAATTAATTTTTAAGTAAAAAATCCTCTACGATTTGATGAATAAAAGAACAATTTCTCCTTAAATCTTGTTCTTAAAGTTTTTGTTTTTATTGTTTGTTTATAATGTTTTTTCTTATTTCTTCTGATATCAGTTTAAGTGTTGATCCTTCCAATACAGAAATATCGGTAAATTCTACTGAAGAAAATCAGACTACTGAAAGTCCTGAGAATCAGACTATTATAGATGCTACTACCAAAGAATCTGTAATAGATAGTGATAACGAATCTGTTACTGAAGTTGCAACAGCTGTCGATGATGTTACTGATCCTTCAATATTGACAACAACAGCCACCAGCAGTCGAACTTCAACAACGAAAGGAAATAACTAAATAACAATTTTTGTCAAGGAAAATCTAAAATGTAATTATATGTGATTTTTAAAGCACTGCAGTAAATTCAGCCTAAGTTGTCTAAATTTGTTACCAATACACCCACAAACATATATTAAATAGGACTGTAAGCATAATTTCAACAGACCCTCCATGCAAAGACGACAATGCCCGAATTGCTACGGTACCCTTGATTCCTGATCAAGTATGAACTAGATATCCATTTTTGGTATGTTTTTAATCTGTTTATTTGTATTTTGCGTGTTTTATGCATTGCCATCTTTGCATGGAGGGTCACTTGAAATTACGCTTACAGTCCCTTTAAGATTCTTAGTATCTAACTTTTTAAAGATATAATTAAGAAACACTAACATTTAATTTAAAATCACAATAATTTCAAAAGGTTTTTGTTCACATTTTGTTATTTTTTTTTCAAATTTAGTGAATAGTGATTATTTTTCTCAAACCAACTCAGAAGGTTGTGAATCAAAGGCAGTAAAACAGCACACAGAGCTTTCCTTACCCGAGCTCTCACTAGTAGGTAATATACTGCCAGAGTTATCCTTACTCGACCTCTCACTAGTAGGTAATATACTGCCTGAAAGCAAGCCTAGATAGAATGTATGCACCATTACTGGTGTGACTTTGTGACCTCGTAGCTTCTCTATTTTTGATTAAGTACTGTGTCCCAGTAAACATGGGAATTGAGTAATGATTTTGATATCGTCTTTATAAACGATTTTTTGATTTAGTATGGTGATGCTGTATTTTAATTTATCTCCACATTAATCTCTCTGATCTCACCCTGCCAGATCACCTGACAATCTCCTTCCTTCCAATAAACTCCTTACCTATCCAAAAACATATCTTGATATGTGTAACCAATTATATTCAGTATAACTAGTAGGTAATATACTGCCAGAGTTATCCTTACTCGACCTCTCACTAGTAGGTAATATACTGCCTGAAAGCAAGCCTAGATAGAATGTATGCAACATTACTGGTGTGAACTTGTGACCTGGGTAGCCTCTCTATTTTTGATTAAGTACTGTGTCCCAGTAAACATGGGAATTGAGTAACGATTTTGATATCGTCTTTGTAAACAATTTTTTGATTTAGTATGGTGATGCTGTACAATTCGTAGATTTTTTGTATGTTAACACCCTGTATTTTAATTTATCTCTACATTAATCTCTCTGATCTCACCCTGCCACAGATCACCTGACAATCTCCTGCCTTCCAATAAACTCCTTACCTATCCAAAAACATATCTTGATATGTGTAACCAATTATATTCAGTATAGTTAACTAACTTTGGGCCAACCACTCAAAACAACCAACCCTGGTTAGGCGGATCCAAACTGCATAATAAATTGTGATTGCTTATTTGTGATATCTCATGCTTTGTAATTGAATAAATATATGAATGAATGAATATGAATGAGTAAAGCATTTGTTTGTTTATGTTTTGATAGCTACCTTGGATTAATAAGAATACAGATAGAACACTAATGCAGTCTCTTCAAGATTTAAGTTTCTTTTTGGTCACAATAACCCTGAGGTAGAAGCCCAAAGGAATTACGCGCATGAGACGTGGAACAGCCTCTCTTTCTGTAATGTAATTCTACGCGGCATGCGTGTAACTCCTTTGGGTGTTTACCTCAGGGTTATTGTGATCGAAAAACCCTTAAATCTTGAAAAGACGACATCTAGTTTTCTATCTGTATTGTTATTAATCTATGACATATACTCATGGTGTACATGCTTTGAAAATGAGAGGTATCTGTACACAAACACAGTACAGATTTTTTATGTTAGCCTGCAGATTATCACAGAACATTATGCAACATTTTGCAGAATAACAAAATAAAATCAAAATAATTCTATACAAAGACGATTTTGTATTCGTCCCTTTATTCCCATGTTTATTGGAACACCCAGTCAGTATGATAAAAGCAAATTTATCTGAGGCCGAATTTAAAGAATTTAGCCGCGGCTTAAATTTAATCCGCGGCTCAAATATGGTTGGTTCCACTTAAAATTGTATTTAATTTTTCAAGATTTAAGCCGGCGCTCAATCGAAACCGGTTTTTGGCAAATTTAAGCCGCGGCTCAAATTCATTAAATTCGGACACTGGTTAGTGGTTACACATTAAAAATTCAAAACATTTGTTCTTTCTTTAAACAGCTTTTCAAACAAAATATTTAGGAAGTTCTGATTTAAAAATACAAGATTTACTTTAGCCCCAAGAAACATGGCAAATGAGAGATGGCTTGACGATCGTCTTTTATTTCGATATAATTTGCGGCATTCACTTGTCAACCTGGCATTCAGTAAAATGGCAAATGATTGTGGTGTGGCGGAAGACGATCTGAGAAGTTAGAAGCCGGATACTCAGACGCGGCAAGATGAGCTCAGAATCTGCCACGTCACCTTGATATATATTTCGATTTCTTAAATTTAAAGTTTCAATAAGTTTAGTCAGTAAAGTATTTATTTAAACTCTGGTCGTGTTAAATTGAGTGTAGCCAAACTGGTGACCCCGAGTTTTTCGCTCCTATAGACTGTTTGTTTCAACACTATAGACTGTTTTTAAGCTACTCGCTCAAGTGAATATGCCCAAGGACGGTGATAATGTCCCGGTCCGAGCTGAACCAAGCTCTTTAAACAGTACATATTCCCTTTAATAAGCAAATTCCCTTTAATAAGCAGTACATATTCCCTTTAATAAGCATATTCTCTTTAATGAGCAGTACATATTTCCTTTAATAAGCATATTCCCTTTAATAAGCAGTACATATTCCCTTTAATAAGCAGTACATATTCCCTTTAATAAGCAGTACATATTCCCTTTAATAAGCAGAACATATTCCCTTTAATAAGCATATTCCCTTTAATAAGCAGTACATATTACCTTAAATAAGCAGTACATATTCCCTTTAATAATCAGTACATATTCTCTTTAATAAGCAGTACATAATAATCTGCCACTTCACCTTGATTTAGATATAATCGATTTCTTAAATTTAAAGTTTTTTAATATTTAGTCAATAAAGTATTTATTTAAACCTCGGACGTGTTTTATTGAACGTAGCCAAATTGGTGACCCCAAATTTTTTCGCTCCTATAGACTGTTCATTTCAACACTATAGACTGTTTTTAAGCTACTCCCTCAAGTGAAAATGCCCAAGGACAGTGATAATGTCCCGGTCCGAGCCGAACCAAGCTCTTTAGAACTATTAAACACAGCGTCAGTTAAAGTTCCAGCTTTTTGGCCAGATTCCGCAGAAGCCTGGTTTGTGCAAGTTGAAGCCCAGTTCGCGCTCAAGGGAGTAACCGCCAGCCTCACAAAGTTCTATTATTGCGTCTCGTCCTTCAATCAAGAGACTGCCAACCAAGTCCTGGATCTGATCAAGTCTCCTCCATCCTCTGAACCTTACGAAGCCTTGAAGCAACGGTTGTTGAGACTCTTCGCCCTAGATGATTTTCAACGGTATGAGGCAATCTCTAGTTTACCATTGTCTGGAGATATGAAGCCATCAAAGTTGATGTCAAGTATGTTGGCCCTGTTACCAGTTGGTCATAAACCATGTTTTTTTTCTCCGGGGAGCTTTTCTTAAGAGGTTACCTGCAGACGTTCGAGCTCACCTACTCAGGGACGATTTCTCCGATCCTATATCTCTCGCCCTGAAAGCTGACAAAATCTATCAAAGCAGAGTGGCCTCTAACCCTGTGAGATCTTCAGGTTCCAGTAAGCCCCGACGTTCAGCAACTCCTCACGCCGGTAACCGCCAGGATAACAGGTCACAGTCCCCTAGCATGTGCTATTACCACCGTACATGGGCTTCTCAGGCAAAGAAGTGCAGAGCTCCCTGCTCCTGGTCGGGAAACTAGTTCACCGGCAGGAGGATGTTCGTACCCTACCTGCCGGGCCTTCTACCTCATCTCCTCTAATTTATTTTCAAGATTCCAAGAGTTCAAGAAGGTTCCTCATCGATTCTGGAGCCTCAGTATCGGTTTTTTCTGATCCAGGATCCTCAGGAGAAGATTCTGGAGTAAAACTGTTAACCGCAGTAAAACTGTTCCTCTCTCACATGTTCAAGTTCTCGGATTATTCCTCTACAGTTCGGGAACCACAAGTTAGAGTGGCCTTTCCAACTAGCTCCGGTAGCCATCCCGATCCTAGGTGCAGATTTTTATATTATAATCATTATAATCTCGTCCTCGATGTGTCAAACCAGAGAGTTTTCAGCGCCGACTCTCCGACCTCCCCGTCCATTGTATTGCCAACTTCTCCAGACTCCAAGCCTGCTCCACTCAAAGCCAATCTTCTCGCCACTCCTAAATGTATCTCCGACCTCCTCGCCGAGTTTCCAGATATGGTTTCGTCCGATGGTTTTACAGCCTCTAAACCTCGTCACGGAGTTACCCACCATCTTCTCACGCAGCCTGGTCCACCAGTTTTCGCCAAAGCTTGACGTTTAGACCCTGAGAATTTGGTATCTGCCAAAGCAGAGTTCTCCGCCATGGAAAAGGCAGGGATTATCCGTAGATCCAATTCTCCCTGGTCTTCTCCTCTTCACATGGTAAAGAAGAAGGATGGAGGTTGGCGTCCCTGCGGAGATTACAGGCGTCTAAATACTGTTACGATTCCTGACCGATATCCTTTACCCAACATTGCAGATTTCACGTCAAGAGTTGCCGGTTCAACAGTTTTCTCGAAGCTCGATTTGCAGAAGGGCTATTACCAGGTTCCCATGGCCGAGGAGGATATTTGCAAGACTGCCATCATCACCCCTTTCGGAATGTTCGAGTTTCTATGCCTTCCTTTTGGCCTCAGGAATGCGGGTAATACCTTTCAGAGGATGATGGATTCCATCCTTGGCGACCTCCCTTACTGTTTCACGTACGTGGATGATATTCTAGTGTTCAGCACCAGCCTGGAGCAGCACGTAGATCACCTACGTCAAGTTCTGCTCCTTTGTCGACAGCACGGACTGGCGATCGGCCTGCCCAAGTGTGAGTTCGCCGTTCCTAAGATCGAGTTCTTGGGTCATGTTCTCTCCGCAAGTGGTTGTTCAAGCACACAGCAGCAATCTCCGAGTTCCCTACTCTGTCAGATAAACCTGCTCTACAGAGATTCCTTGGTATGATCAATTTTTACAGGAAATTTCTCCGGGGAGCTGCTAGAGTACTAGCTCCACTCACTGATGCTCTGAAGGGTCCAGGCAAATCTATCACCTGGACTTCCAACCTCGAGGCTGCCTTCCGACATGCAAAGGACCTCATCATCAGAGTTCCAGAGTTAATCCATCCTCGTTCATCAGCTCCAATTTCCCTTGCCGTAGATGCTTCCGATTCTCATGTGGGTGCTGTACTCCAACAGAGGGTTGATGAAGCTTGGTTTTCTCTAGCATTTTTCTGCAGGAAACTATCTGACACAGAGAAGAAGTATTCTGCTTTCGACAGGGAACTTCTGGCAGCCTACCTGTCCATCAAACACTTCTGCTCACAAACCTCTAACCTCTGCTATGTTCAGGAGTTCTCCGCCCTGGTCTGCCCGTCAACAGAGACACCTGGCATATATTGCAGAATTCACGAGTTCTATTGTGCATGTGCCAGGCCTGGAGAATACTGTAGCTGATGCCCTTTCTCGCCCCAGCCCTTCTCCACCTGTTGATTCCTCTCCAGTTGTCCCACCTGGTTCTCCATCTCCAACATCTCCATCCCTGCTCCAAACCTCCACGTCATCTCCATGTCATGCTCCAGATCCACCTATCCAAGATCCGCCCCTGCTCCAAACCTCCACGTCATCTCCACGTCATGCTCCAGATCCTCCTATCCAAGATCCGGTTCCAGCGGTGTCGGCGGTGTCGGTGGTGACAGATCCTCATCCNTT